AATAATTAATAATTATCTGTGGCAATGCATCTTACATATAAATAAAACAGTGAATGTTAATAATCTAAAATTGATAAATCCACTATGACTCCTTATTTGCTCCTGTAGGGATGAACCAGTCATAATGTAATAAAATAACATTTATTTAATAGAACTTGATATTTATAGCATCCACTATAATACTATAAAAGTAATTCCAGGGGCTGGGATGGTGACTCAGTGGTGGAGTGCTTGCCTTGCATGCATGAGGCCCTGGGTTCAATTCCTTAGAACCACATAGGCAGAAAAAGCCGGAAGTGGTGCTATGGTTCAAGTGGTAGAGTGCTAGCCTTGAGCTGAAGTACTGAGACACAGCACCCAGGCCCAGAATTCAGGCCCCACAACCGATCAACAAAAAAAAAAAGTAATTCCCAAGACATTAAAAAACATTGATCAGTCCCTTCATACAGAGTTTATAACATATTTACTCAGGAGTCTAAAGCCTTTGTGAAAGAAAAATTAAATCTAGTCTTGTCCACTTACAGAGTATCATCTGCTATCAAGTGATTTCAAGGATAAATTTCTCGTGTGTGTGTGTGTGTGTGTGTGTGTGTGTGTGTGTGTGTGTGTGTGTGTGAAACTTGAACTCAGAGCCTGGGTGTTGTCCCTTAGCATTTTTGCTCACACCTCCACTTACAGCTTCTTGTTATTTAACTAGCGATAAGATTCTCATGAATATTCCTGCCCAGGATGACTCTGAACTACTTCAGATTTCAGCTTCTTAAGTAGCTAGGATTATTAAAGGTAAAGCACCAGCACTTGGATTTCAGGAGAAATTTAATCTTCAAAATAAGTGACAGGGCTGGGAATGTAGCTTAGTGGTAGAGTGCTTGCCTAGCATTCATAAAGCCCTGGGTCCCATTCCTCAGTACCACATAAACAGAAAACACCAGAAGTGGCGCTGTGGCTCAACAGGTAGAGTGGCAAGCCTTGAGCAGAAAGAGCTGATGGACAGTGCCTAGGCCCTAGAGTTCAAGTCCCGGGACTGGCAAAAACAAAATAACAACAACAACAAAAAAGTAAGCCACAGCACCACTTCCTCCATGAGACTCTTATCTCCAAAACTGGAAGTGGTGCTGTGGCTCCAGTGGTAGAGCGCAAGCCTTGAGCTGAAGAGCTGAGGGACAGTGCCCAGGCCCAGAAACCAAGCTCCAGGACTGATTTAAAAAAAAAAAAAAAAAAGGGCTGGGAAGGTGGCTCAGTGGTAGAGTGCTTGCCTTGCATGCATGAGGCCCTGGGTTCTATTCCTCAGCACCACATAAGCAGAAAGAAAAAAAAAAGCCAGAAGTGGTGCTGTGGCTCAAGTGGTAGAGCGCTAGCCTTGAGCTGAAGAGCTGAGGGACAGCGCCCAGGCCCAGCGTTCAGGCCCCACAACCGGACCCCCCTCCCCCAAAAAAAACAATTTCAGAGGAAAAATTTTACAAATCCTATCATTTTTGGTACAGGATGATCCTAAATTCTGCATGTGGTTTGTCAAACAACTTCAAACAATGCTAAAAAATTACAATCACTTGACAAAAGATAGGAAAGTTCAAAAACAAAACACCACCATCTAGGAATATTCTAGCTTTAAGCTAGTAGAGATGTTCAGATACTTTTTCTACATACCAGAACCATGATGGTCTTGCCTTCATGAAGATTCAGCCAAGATACTCCACATTTCTATGTTGGCCAGGAACTATGAAAACTGGGGGGGAAAAGAATTACAAATTCAAATCAACAAAACATTAAGTGGTTTATTCCAAGTTGTAAAAGCATTAGTATTTAAGCAGTGAACCAAAGCAAATTTATAAAGCAAAATAATACCTGAAACTTCCCAGTAAAGCAACCTACCAAAAATACAGAAGAAAATGTTGCCAAATAAATTGCTAAATAGCAACTTCCTATTCTACTATCTGTACCATCAGTTGTTTCTTACTAACCGATGACTGAATAATAGCATCCAGTTCTTAGATAAAGAATGGTAGCAATTCAGAAGACTAAAGGTTCTAGAACCACTTCCACTGGAATAAAAAAGAATCTCAGCATTTGTCTCAGCCATACTCATATCACAACAGTCTTATCTACAAAATCAAATTTAGGCTTACTTAAAGTACTTTAAGGTATTAAGCATTAAAAATAAGATTAAGATGTAAGTCTTACTGGTGCTGGTGGCTCACACCTGTAATTGTAGCTATTCAGGAGGCTGAGATTTGAGGATCTTGGTTCAAAGCCAGCTCAGGCAGGAAAGTCAGGAGACTCTTATCTCCAATGAAGGAACAGAAAAGCCAGAAGTGGCTCTGTGGCTCAAATGTCAGAATGCTAGCCTTAAGCAAAAGAAGCTCAAGGACAAAGCCAGGGCCCTGTGTTCAAGCCCAAGAATTGGCAGAAAGAAAAGAAAGAAAGAAAAGAAAGAAAGAAAGAAAGGAAGGAAGGAAGGAAAGGAGGGAGAGAGAGAAAGAAAGAGAAAGAAAGGAAGGAAGGAAGGAAGGAAAGATAGAAGGAAGGAAGGAAGGGAGGGAGGGAGGGAAAGAGCAAGCAAAGGGGAACTAATCTTATTATCTAGTACCAGTGGCTCACACCTTGATACTCAGGAGGCTGAGATCTAACTATCTAAGTTCAAAGACAGCCTGGGCAGGAAAAATTATGACACTCTTATTTCTAATTTACAACAAAAAGCTGAAAGTGGAGCTGTGGCTCAAATTGTAGAGCAGTAGCCTTGAGAGAAAAAAGCTAAGAGGCAGTGGCTAGACCTGGAGTTCAAAAAAACTAACACAAAAAAAAGTAACCTCGTGCCTGGCACCAATGGCTCATGCCTATCATTCTAGCTGCTCAGGAAGCTGAGATCTGAAAATAACAATTCAGAGCCAGTCCAAGATGCCAAATCTGAGTGAGACATAGCTCCAATAAACAGCAAAAAGCTGGAACAGAGACATGACTCAAGTAGTGGAGTAACAACAGCCAGTGAGCAGAAAAAGGCAAGCCAGAGCTGGGAATGTGGATGCTTGCCTCCCATGCATGAAGCCCTGGGTTCAATTCCTCAGTACCCCATAAACAGAAAAAGCTGGAAGTGTTGTGGCTCAAGTGGTAGAGTGCTAGCCTTGAGCAAAAGAAGCTCAGGGACAGTTCCCAGGCCAAGTTCAAGCCCCAGGACTGGCAAAAAAGAAAAAAGAAAAAGACAAGCCATAGGCCTGGAGTGCAAGTTTGAAGACCAGTGCACACATCCATACACATACTAAGAGAAGCACTGTTAGCCAAAATTTTATGTTGATAAATGAATCTGTAAGCCTATGTTCAAATGATAAGTTTGGGCTTTCATACTACAAAGAAACCCATTTTCCTAAATTTCAAATATACAGAATGTGACAAGAGATGCCTTACTCTTTTCTCCAAGTTATCAACCTGGCAGAACTTGAGAACTGTTCGACGGCTTACCAGAGGTAACCCTTTCAGTGTTTGGCAGTTCTACTGAAAGACCCACATGAGTGCAATGCAGGGGATGTGGCATTACAAAAAGCGGGGAAATGTAGCATATAGTCAGAATAAACCACAATTACGATAAGGTTGTCAGTACTCCTTATTAGCAAATTAGTAGGGCTCCTCTAATCACAAATTTCCCTGAAAGTCGGAGGGTGGGGTTGTAGATCAAAGGCTTTGCAAAAAATCTCCCTGGAGAAATGGAGAACAATAACTGTGTGTGTGTGTGTGTGTGTGTGTAAGTCTAGAACTCAGGGCCTGGGAGCTGTCCTTGAGCTTTTTCTCTCAAGGCTAGCACTCATCACTTGAGACATACCTCACACTTCACGTTTCCTAGTAATTAATTACAGAAAAACAGTCTGAAGGACTTTTCCTGCCCAGGCTGGCTTTGAACCGCAATCCTACGAGCTCAGCCTCCTGAGCAGCTAGGATTGATAGCAAGCATGAGCCCGGCTATATAACATTTAAAAGAAATTTTAAATGTCATTCGACTTGGCAGCCAGCAAATGAGTCACTGAATGAAACAGGATCAGAGTTCCTCCCTTCAAAAGGAGACTAGAGTGCACTCCTTTTGCAGAGGAGTGCTCAGGATGTGGAGGGGTGGAGAAGGCAAGTGCTTCAAACTTGGATGCAACTTGCAGAAACACGGACTGAGGCCCCAGGCGGTATTAGCCAATCCGGGGACTCCGGAGGCCTGGGCCGGGCAGGTGGCTAGGATCTTTCCCGACAGGGGGCCAAGGTCCCTGCTCCCGGGCCCTGCTCCGGGCGGGGAGCCCCGGCGTCCGGACGCCCGAGAGCTTGCTTTGCTCGGCAGAGGCTGACAGCCCGGCCCCTGGCCACGGCCCTAGAAAAGCCCGCGCGTGGCCTGGGACGTCCCCCCGGGGCGCCACCTTTACAAAAACCGGCAAGTGAAAAGTCCGGAAAGGGTGAAGGAAAGCAGGAGTCCGGCGGCGCGCGTGCCGCCGGGGAGAAGCGCAGCGAGGCAGCCGCGATCGCCGCGCCGGCACCCGGCAAGCGACACTCACAGCGCTGCCGGCGGCTCGGGCGGCCGCGGCAGACCCGCGGGAACCGATCCTCCTGAGGAGAGAGCACCGCGACCGCCACGCCGCCCGGCCCTCAGGACGTCGCCCGGGATCCAGTTCCCACCCCGCTGGGCCGTCGGCACTCCCGGCCCCGACCCCGGGCTGACGCGGTTCCCGCCGCTCGTGCACGCACACTCACCGCGCGCGCGCTGCCCCGGCGCGGCCACCCGCCCGCCGCCCTTCGGAGTGATCTCCGCCCCACCACCCGCGCGGCGGCGGCGGCGGCGGCGGCGGCGGCGGCGGCGGCGGCAGCGGTGGCGGGGCAGGGGGGGGTGAGGGGGGTGGGCCACGTCATGGCGCATGCGCAGTCCGCGCGCCCGCAACGGCAGTAGGACGTTACCCCCCAAGCCCTCGGCGTGCGTGTTTCCTTAGAGACCCAGACAGCTTGGGCGCTAGCGGCCCGGCCACTCCTCAGAAGTCAAGATGTCGCCGAAGAAAACGGACAAGAAGAAAGGCAAAGACAAAGACAAAGATAAGAAGTAAGGAACAGCCGCCCAGGGGTCCCTTGTTCCTGGACCTCCCTCGGGATTTCGTGAAGACTGAAGCCCACAAGATCTCGTTAGCTCTCCAAGCCTGTTATTTTTAAAAAACCGACTTTTAGGAGCATACAACAGTGTGTTAGGGACGTTGGATCACGCATTTCCCTACGTGGGTCCCTACGTGGGTCAGCCTCGCCGGCCCGACCCTCCCCCGCCTTTCCAAAACAGGGTTTCAGCAGACAAACAGCTTCTATCCTATCCGCCTTCACCTTTGCCTGCCTGCCTTGATCTCGCCTTCACCTTCTGCCTGCCTTGATCTCGCCTTCACCTTTGCCTGCCTTGATCTCGCCTTCACCTTCTGCCTGCCTTGATCTCGCCTTCACCTTTGCCTGCCTTGATCTCGCCTTCACCTTTGCCTGCCTTGATCTCGCCTTCACCTTCTGCCTGCCTTGATCTCGCTCTCACGGGTCCCCCCCCCCTCCCCGCCCCCAGCCTGCTTTGCTTTCTTTTCAGCCTTTGTTTGTTTTTAGTGTATGTTAATTGCATCAAGGATTTTAACCACGGTATTTCAGACATGCATATACTATATTTTAATCAGAATAACCCTCTCTATTGCTTTCTCGTTACTGGAGTTTTCCAAGTCCTCTCCCATCACACACCTGCTATCCTTCCCCCTCCTCCCAACCCCCAGACACCGGGGACTCTGACCCTTTGGCTCCTCACAGCCTGGTGCTCTACTACCTGAGCCCCATCATACCCTGTCTTCAAGATTTTTCTTTCTTTCTTTTTTTTTTTGCCGGTTCTAGGGCTTGAACTCAGGCCTGGGCACTGTCCCTAAGCCTTTTGCTCAAGCCTTTTGCACTCTACCACTTGAGCCACAGCGCCACTTCTGGCTTTTTCTGTGGTACTGAGGAATGGAGCCCAGGGCTTTATACATGCTAGATAAACACCCTACCACGAAGCCACCTTCCCGGGCACTCTTCAAACTTTTTTTGGTCAGTGGTGGAGTTTGAACTGTGGGTCTAGACGCTGTCCCTCAGCTCTTCAGCTCAAGGCAAGTGCTCTACCACTTGAGCCACAGTGCCACTTCTGGTTTTCTGAGTGGTTTATTGGAGATAAGAGTCTCATGGACTTTCCTGTCCAGTGTGGCTTTGAACCACGATCCTCAGATCTCAAACCTCTTTACAGGCGTGATCCACTGGTGCCTGGCCTCTTCAAAATTTTAACGACTGCTTGTTCCTTCCTTTTGTGATTCTAGCTCCAAAAGCTTACTACTGTGTGGCTAAGATGATCTGGAAATTCTAGAAGATGCTCTAGTCTCCATGGTTCAAGTTGTTCCTTGGACCTTTTCCATACTCTTTGTTGTTTGTTTGTTTGAAGGGGAAACCTAAAAGATTTAATGAAATTGAGTAATGGTTAAGATTTCCCATAACTAGGGCTGGGAAGGTAGCTCAGTGGTAGAGTGCTTGCCTTGCATGCCTGAGGCCCTGGGTTCGATTCCTCAGTACCACATAAGCAAAAAGAAAAAAAGCCGAAGTGGCACTGTGGTTCAAGTGATAGAGCGCTAGCCTTGAGCTGAATAGCTGAGGGACAGCACCCAGGCCAAGAGTTCAGGCCCCACCACCGGAACCAAAAAAAAAAAAAAGATTTCCCATAACTGACCAGAGCTTTGGACTATGCTGTTAGTGATCTAGCACTCACCTCATCGGTGCTAGCAGCTGTTGCTATTGTGCAAGTAGGTCTGTTGGGTGATCCTGGTTGTGTTGCCTAATTCAACAAGAACATGGGGTCCCAAAGGAATCATTTAAAATTGTATTTATAAAGTAATTTGTTTGGAGCCAAGAGTGGTGGTGGTTCATACCTATAATCCCAGCACTTTCAGGCTAAGACAGAAAGAGAACTGACTTTGGGACTGGATGGCAATAGTAAATTGTAGGCCAGTCTAGACTGCAGATGAGACTCTGTCTTAAGAGGAAAAACAAGTTAACATCTTTGAGCTAGAGGTATAGCTCAGTGACTGTTATAGTTAATTACCTAGCATGTGCATGGCCCTGAGCTCAATCCTCAAGTAAGTAACTAGTTTAAGAGAGAATGTCAAGTTTAATACAGAAGGTTTGGGAAACATGGAGAATGCAAAAGAAGAAATCAAAATTCATCTATCATCACATTACTCATAGATAACCACAACTGTCATTTTGTGATGGTCTTATTTTCTTTATAAAATGATAGGCAAATTGTTTGTAGCTTTTTTTTCTTCTTGTGGTTTTTCCTTTCTTTTTGTTTTTCAGATCTTGCAACTAACCCAGAGATAAAACCCAGTGAGTCACAACCCAGCCCTCTTCCTTCTTTCATGTTAATAATATTCCACAGGATTGGTATAGGGGGGTTCTAGGGCTTGAACTCAGGGCCTCATGCTCTTATTCACTCAAGGCTAGTGCTCTACCACTTGAAAGACAGATCACTTCCAGCTTTTGGTTAGATATAAGAGTTAGACTTTCCTGTACAGGTTGGCTGCAAACATTGTCCCTCAGATTTCAGCCTTTTGAGTAGCTAGGATTATAGGTGTGAGCTACTGGGGTTGGCTAATACAGTAGTTTTTTTGAAAATTGCCAAAGGCTTTCTGAAATTCACATATCTGAAATTCACATCATGTGTTTTCTACTTTTGGCTATGAACATATGTGAACCATGAGGAGCAATAACAGTTCTTAGATGTTCCATGGTCATTGTATGAGAAAAACCTACTTAGTTCCACCTAGAGTTAATGGTCTTCCTGGTAAAGATGTATAATTCATTATATCAAGTACTCTGATAGCTTCAAGGAGCAATTGGATGATTGAAGCCAGTGTATTACTAGCATCTAAATCATGTCAAACAGCTTTAACAGGCTTAACATTAGGGAGGACAGGGCTAGCCTTAATTTGATGAGAACAAAAGGTAGTGGTGGAAAGGGACTAAGAATCAGTTGAGTATATATGCAGGGTAAAGTGCAAGTATAGAAAGATCATCTCTGGGCTGGGAATGTGGCTTAGTGGTAGAGTGCTTGCTTCACATGCATGAAAACCTGGGTTCTACTCCTCAGTACTACATACATAGAAAAAGCCAGAAGTGATGCTGTGGCTCAAGTGGTAGAGTGCTAGACTTGAGCAAAAGAAGCTCAAGGACAGTGTCCAGGCCCTGAATTCAAGCTCTAGGACTGGCAAAAAAAATCTACACATGTATAACTATTTACAGGGTTGGAGGCTTGGCTCATTTGGTACAGCACCAGCCAGTGAGCAAAGGGTCAGGTCTGAAGTTCAGGCTTTGAACCTAGGGTCACATACTTGCTTGGATGGTGCTCTGCCACTTGAGCCATGCCTCTAACTCTACTTTTTGTCGGTCCTGGGGCTTGAACTCTGTGCTTGGACACTGTCCCTCAGCTCTTCAGCTCAAGGCTAGCACTCTACCACTTGAGCCACAGTGCCACTTCTGGTTTTTCTCGTGGTTTATTGGAGATAAGAGTCTCACGGACTTTACTGCCTGGGCTGACTTTGAACCATGATCCTCAGATCTCAGCCTCCTTAGTAGGTAAAATTACAGGTGTAAGCCACTGTCACCCGGCTCCACATCTCCTTTTTTGCCCATTGTTTTGGAGATGAAGTCTAGAGGACTTTTCTGCCTTGGTTGGCTTTGAACTGACATCCTATACATCCGAGTCTCCTAAGCTAGGATTACAGGTGTGAGCCACCAGCACCAGCTCAACTGTAACTTTTTAATGTATTAACTATGTACCTACTACCTATCATGTAATGGATAATAAATATTTTGAAAGATAAGTTCTTTTTATCAGTTTAATCTTTGAATCATTTACTTATTTCTTACTTTTTTTGAAGATGCTGTATCATTAAGCTACAGCCCCAGCCGTAGTTTTCAGAAAAATTCTCAAACATCCTTAAAGACTGGCACACCATGGAACCAGTTACAAAAGTATTTCATATAATTGCCCAAGTGACATATTCTTTTGTCCAAGGCTTAGCCAAACAAAACAATAACAAAAACAAAAAACTAGGGTATGTGTGGAATAGATGGGGAGATAGTAGATACAGAAGGAATATGTTTTCATTGAGAAGTATATTGAATTAGGGAATGGGTTTGTGATGGAGAGAACAAGATTGACAACTGAATGGGATAGTTTCAATACAGGAGAACCTAGAAAATGAAAAGCTGTGAAAACTTTATGAAATGAATTTAACTTGTATCTTTCCTCTTGATTTTCCAGTTTTTTAGTTTTTTTGTTTTTGGGTCTGGTCCTGGGGCCTGAACTCTGGGCCTGGGCGCTGTCCCTCAGCTCTTCAGCTCAAGGCTAGTGCTCTACCACTTGAGCCACAGCACCACTTCCAGCTTTTTTCTTTTTGCTTATGTGGTGCTGGGGAATCGAACCCAGGGCCTCAGGCATGCAAGGCAAGCACTCTACCACTGAGTCACCTTCCCAGCCCCTAGTTTTTTTTGTTTTTTGTTTTTTTTTTTTTTTACTCCAGAGCTTTCCTCTTCCAGGAAGAGATACTTAAATATTTAACTCTATTTTGTGAGTACAAATAAATTTATATTGATCCATTAACAGAACAGTATTTGCTTGTATTTGCCAGGATGTGTCAAGCAAGACAAAAGAGAGAGCCATAATTAATATAAACAGAGTAGAGAAACAGGTATATACTGTCAATTGCCTCCTCCCATGCAGGAAGGTAAAACCTGAGGAACCTGTGATCGAACAAGCCAAAGCCAATGCAGCCCTTTGGGAGGCCAGATTGGAAGTCACAGAACTCTCTAGGATTGAGTATCGTGATACTTCCCGAAGACTGGCAAAATGTAATGAGGAGTTAAAGAAACAGCAGTATAAGATGGAGAAAGACACAATGTCTGTATTAAGCTTCATGAAGAAGCAGGATCAGGAGAAAGATAATATGGTAGGTAGGTAGAAAACCTCATGAGTCTCATTAACTACCTCTGTTACATTTTTCAAGAATTTTAATTCATTAAAGTCTCATCTCCTTGAAACAAGATATTTTAGAATTTCATTGGTATTTTCATAGTTTCAAGTTTCAGCTCTTACACTATGTTTCTTATCTGAAGCAATTAGGAAGAATAAAAGAATGGTATGATCTATGTATTAATCCATGTGTGTGATCTATGTGTTTGTTTTTTGTCAGTCATGGGGCCTGGGCGCTGTCCCTCAGCTCTTCAGCTCAAGGTGAGAACTCTACCACTTGAGCCACAGCACCACTTCTGGTTTTCTGGTAGTTTATTGGAGAAAAGAGTCTCACGAACTTTCATACCCAGGCTGGCTTTGAACCAAGATCCTCAGATCTCAGCCTCCTGAGTAGCTAGGATTACAGGCATGAGCCACCAGTGCCCTACTCTCTATGTGTTTTTGATAGTGGTATTTAGGGTTTGTTTTTTTTTTTGCTTTTTGTTGGTCGTGGGGCTTGAACTCTGGGCTTGGGCACTGTCCCTGCGCTCTTCAGCTCAAGGCAAGCACTCTACCACTTGAACCACAGAGCCACTTCTGGTTTATTTAGTGGTTTATTGGAGATAAGAGTTTCACAGACTTTCCTGCTTGGGCTGGCTTTGAACTGCAATGCTCAGATCTCAGCCTCCTGAGTAGCTAAGATTATAAACATGAGCCACCGGCGCCCGGCTTGGTATTTAGTTTTAATGACATAAAGCAATTCATTCATAATCCATGATCACATTATGAACTTAGCAAGTAAAATCTTGGACTTTATGCATATTAAATTGTCAAGAGTAAAGCTATCATTTTTATATCTGGATGTAAAAAGAAATGTACACCTGTTGCCCCAGCACTCAGGTGATGAAGGCAGGAGGATCAAGAGTTTGAGGCCAGCCAAGCATTAGTGACTAGCCCAGGCTACTTGAGTGACTCAACCTGGACACAGCAGGACATAGTGGAACATGACTGTCATTCTAAGCTATGTATGAGGCCAGAGCTGTGAAGAAAAGACCATTAGCTTCTATCTCAGTGGAAGGAAGGTGGATAAGGTGGTGAACGATTTCATTGAAGCAAAAACACAATACCTAAAATAGGTAGATTGTGATCCAGGCCACACTTTGGCACGAAGCAAGACCCTATCTCAAAAAATAACTAGCAAAAAACAGGGCTGGAGGCATGAATCAACAGGTGATCATTTGCCTAGCAAGCATTAGGCCTTGAGTTCAAACACGGTATTAGAAAAAAAACAAAGGCAGCTGGGCACCAGTGGCTCATGTCTGTAATCCTAGCTACTCAGGAGGCTGAGATCTGAGGATCACAGTTCAAAGCCAGCCCGAGCAGGAAAGTCCATGAAACTCTTATCGCCAATAAACCACCAGAAAACCGAAAGTGGTGCTGTGGCTCAAGTGGTAGAGCCCTAGCCTTGAGCTGAAGAGCTGAGGGACAGTGCCCAAGCCCAGAGTTCAAGGCCTACAACTGACCAAAAAAAAAAAAAAAGAAAAGAAAAGAAAAAAAAAAAAGGCAAACAAACTCTACATAGTTCAGATCCAAGATACAGTTTCCAAAAGAGAAAAGTAGAATTTGAAGTATCACTGCAAATTGTTCTCTTTTCCTTCTGCTTTTATAAGCTGCTTGGAGAGCCCAGGTAACTTCCACTATGTTGAAGATACATGCCTCCTTGCACCATGCTTTAAAATTATATATGTCATATAAATATATGTATATTCATAAGCAAGAAATATGTAGCCTTTTTTTAAATCTACATAGAAAGCATATAGATTTTTAGCTTTTTTTTTTTGACCCTGGGACTTGAACTTAGGACCTGGACACTGTCCTTGAGCTTCTTTTGCTCAAGGCTAGCACTCTCACTACAGCCACAGTGCTACTTCTGGCTTTTTCTGTTTATGTGGGACTGGGGAATTGAACCCAGGACTTCATGCATGCTAGGCAAGCACTCTACCAGTAAGCTACATTCCTAGTCCTTTAGCATTTTTTTTTTGCTGGTCCTGGGGCTTGAACTCAGGTCCTAGGAACTGTCCCTGAGCTTCTTTTGCTCAAAGTTAACACTCTACCACTTGAGCCACAGTGCCACTTCCACCTTTTTCTGTTTATGTGGTACTAAGGAATTGAACCCAAGGCTTAATGCATGCTAGGAGAATACTCTACTATGTTCCAGACCCCTCTGGCAAATTTTTTGACGTAGGGGTTTGTATCCTCCAGATGATTTTCAATTTCTTAGCCTTCAGAATTGCTGAGACTACATGCATCTTCATACTGGTTCATCATTGTTTTGTGGTACTGAAGTTTGGATTCAGAGCCTAACATTTGCTAGGCAAGTACTTTCCTACTTAAGTTACACCTCCAGACCTTTCATCTACTAGTACTTAACCCAATATTGTTTTTTGTGATAGTCACAAAAATAATTCATTTTATTTCTCTGTTTTCGTGTGTGTGCGCCAATACTAAGTCTTGAACTACAGATCTTGAACTATGCTCTTGCTTAGCTTTTTTACCCAAGGCTGGTGTTCCAGCACTTGAATAACACCTCCACTTCTAGCTTTTTTGCTGGTTGATTAGGGATGAGTCTCTTGAATTTGTATGCCGTCTGACTTTGAACCTCAATCCTCAGATCTCAGCCTCCTGAGTAGCTAGAATTACAGGCATGAGCCACCAGCTTCTTCCTTCCTTCCCTCTCTCCTCTACCTCCCTCTCCCTCCCTTTCTCCTTCTCTTCCTCCCTCCTCCCTCCCTTGCCTAGCATGCATGAAGCCCTGGGTTCCATTCCTCAGTATCACATAAACAGAAAAAGCTGGAAGTGGTGCTTTGACTCAAGCGGTACAGTGCTAGCCTTGAGACAAAGAAGCTCAGGGACAGTGCCCAAGCCTTGAGTTCAAGCCCCAGGACTGGCAGAAAAAAAAAAAAAAGACTCTGAGTACTACCAAAAGAATCCCCCTCAAAAACTGGGTACTAGTGCTTCATGCTATTAGCCTAGCTACTCAGGAAACCAAGATCTGAGATTTGTAATTCAGAGCTTTCCCGAACAGACAAAATACAAGATTCTTCTATCTAGTTAACCAGCAAAAAGCCAGAAATTAAGGTGTGGCTCAAGTGTTAGAGTAACATCTTTGAAAGAAACTCTTGAATCTTGAATTAAAGGCATATACATGAAAAACTTAGAAGTTACATTCTAGAGATTTTACAATGCAAATGTGAAGTATACACTTAAAATGGTAAATTAATATTTTACCACATCTATAAACTAAATTGATTACAGAATTAAATTATTCTGATGAAATCTGGATTCTTAAAATCTTAAAATAGCAGATTAAGACTGTTGGGAGATGTCCCTTCCTCCTGCTTGTTTTAGCTATGTAAAAATACTGAAACATATACAGAAAATTAGGACAGTTATTTATTTACCTTCCTGACTCTGATTTTCATTTATAGATTGAACTATTGAAACAGCAATTGGTTGAGACAAAGGAAAAAGCTCAAGAGGAGAAGGAAAAGTTGGTGAGTATATGTATACTAATACTTCACTTATTAAGTGATTATGTTTCCAGTGAATTCAATTACCTAAGATCATTAAGAATAAGTAAAAGGGATGGGAATGTGGCTTAGTGGTGGAGTGCTTGCCTAGCATGCATGAAGTCCCGAGTTCGATTCCTCAATACCACTTAAACAGAGTGGCCCTGTGGCTCAGGTGGTAGAGTGTTAGTCTTGAGCAAAAGAAGCTCAGGACAGTGCTCAGGCCCTGAGATCAAGCCCCAGAACTGACAAGAAGAAGAAGGAGGAGGAGGAGGAGGAGGAGGGGGAGGAGGAGGAGGGGGAGGAGGGAGGAGGGGAGAGCAGGAGGGGGGAGGGAAGAGGGGGGAGGGAAGGGGGGAGGAGGAGGAGGGGGAGGGAAGAGGGGGGGAAGGAGGAGGAAAGAAGAAGAAGAGGAGGAGGAGGAGGGGGAGGGGGAGGTAGGAGGAGGGGGGGGAGGGAGGAGGAGGAGAAGGGAGAGGGAGGAGGAGGAGGAGGGGGAGGGAGGAGGAGGAGGAGGGGGAGGGAGGAGGAGGAGGAGGGGGAGGGAGGAGGAGGGGGATGGAGGAGGAAAGAAGAAGAAGAAGAGGAGGAGGAGGAGGGGGGGGAGGGAAGGGGGGAAGGAGGAAAGAAGAAGAAGAAGAAGAGGAGGAGGAGGAGGAAAAGGAGGAGGAAGAGGAGGAGGAAGAGGAGGAAGAGGAGGAGGAGGAGGAGGAGGAGGAGGAGGAGGAGAAGGGAGAAGAAGAAGAGGGTATAGTCTGTGATAAGAGTGCTTGCCTAGTATTTACCAGAACCTAGGTCGGTCCCCAACACCAAATAAAAGTGAAAAAAATTCTGTTAATATTTATGTGGTATAGTAGTTATTATCCTAACTACTCAGGAGACTGAGTTCTAGAGGATCACAGTTGCCAGTCAGAGCAGACAGTGTGAGAGGTTCCATTTCCAATTAATCAACAAAAAGCTGGACTGGAGGTGGTTCAAGTGTACGAACAGGGGCTGGGAAGGTGGCTCAGTGGTAGAGCGCTTGCCTTGCATGCATGAGGCCCTGGGTTCGATTCCCCAGCACCACATAAGCAAAAAGAAAAAAAAGCTGGAAATGGTACTGTGACTCAAGTGGTAGAGCGCTAGCCTTGAGCTGAAGAGTTGAGGGACAGCGCCCAGGCCCAGAGTTCAGGCCCCACAACCGGACCCAAAAAAAAAAAAAGTATAAGAACATTCAGCCATGAGCAAGCAAGCCAGCTGAGCATGAGGACCTGAATGCAAGCATGGAAACTGGAAAAAAGATAATGAATAAGAATCATATAGATTATGAGAGATGGGTAAATAGCTCCATAGTACGGTTTGCCTAGCATCTATGAGGCCTTGGGTTTAAACCCCAACTGAAAAAAAAAATTCACGCAGAGTTTTTAGTTCAGAGACACAGGACCTACAAGTTTTGGGGTCATATGCATGTTAGATGGGTGCTTTACTACTGAGCTACCCCCCTCCCCCCAGTCCCAGAATGCAGAATGTTTTAACTTTTTTCTATATGTTTCTCCTTTCTTCCTTGCCTGAAGTGTCTCAGTTCTTTTTGTTTTGTTGGCTGTGGGGCTTGAACTCTGGGCCTGGGTGCTGTCCCTGAGCTCTTCAGCTCAAGGCTAGCGCTTGAACCATAGCGCCACTTCCGGTTATCTGGTGGTTTATAAGGGTTAAGAGTCTTACAGACTTTCCTGCCCGGGCTGGCTTTGAACCTTGATCCTTAGATCTCAGCCTCCTTAGTAGCTAGGATTACAGGAGTGAGCCACCGGTGCCCAGCAGTCTCTGTTCTTAATGATATCAATATAATCACCTCAATATAATCAATATAATCTATATAATCACCTCACACAATCTTGCAATAGCAACACTATCACCAACAATATATGCCTAGAAATAGTTTAAGAGGCTTGTTTGGTTGTTGTTTTGTTTTTGCCATTGGTGGGGTTTGAACTCAGACCCTCATATTGCTGTTTGCTTGCCTGTCTGGTGCTCTACCACTTAAGCCAGACCTCCATTCTGATTTTTTGCTGGCAATTTTGGAGACAGACTCTCTTGGGTTTTTCTGCCTGAGCTGGCTTTGAACCACATTCCTTCTGATCTGAGTGATCTGAAGAGCTGAGGGACTGCGCTTAGGCCCAGAGTTCAAGCTCCACGAAGTTCTTATTATCAATTCAACAACACACTTCTGTTTTGAGTATAAAATTTTTTTTTGGTTTGGGTTTTTTTGTTGTTGCTGGAGATTGAATTCAGAACTTTGAACATGCTAAGCACATGCTTTACCTACTAAATTATATGTATACATTCTTCCAGAATTTCTTTCTTATTCAAGGTAGATTGGGATCATTTTAAAGAAATTAATATTGTATGCAAAAATTAACACTTTAAACAAAAAGAATGGAACATTTCTTCAAAGAAGATAAACAAGTGGCTCAAGGCTTCAGGTGAAACATGACTATATAGAACTTTTGTTTTTCCTAACTTTCTGGCTTCTTTTTTGAATATAGGAACAAAAGTATACTATGCAAATAAATCATCTAGAAGGAAGATTCTATGAAAAAGCCAGAGAAATTAGTATGATTCAGACAGAGCTGAAAACAATAAAACATTTCCAGAAGAGAAAAATCCAAGTGGAGAAAGAATTAGAGGATGTAAGTTCCTTCCTTCCCTTTCCTCCACTCCTTTAATTCCTTTTTTCCTTTCCTTCTTTCCTCCCAATCCTTTTTTTTTTTTTTTTTGGTCGTGGGGCTTGAACTCTGGGTTTGGACGCTGTCCCTCAGCTCCTCAGCTCAAGGCAAGTGCTCTACCACTTGAGCTATAGCACAGCTTCTGGTTTTCTAGTGGTTTATTGGAGATAGTAGTCTCACAGGCTTTCCCGCCCTGGCTGGCTTTGAACCTCCATCCTCAGATCTCAGCCTCCTGAGTAGCTAGGATTCCAGGCGTGAGCCACCAGCGCCTGGCTCCTAATCTTTTAGTCTTTTTTTTTTTTTTTCTCTTTTCTTTCTTAAATAAGACATTAGAGTTGACTACACAAAAACTCTTCACATTCCTGTGAAACATCAAGGAGCTCTGACATTTTAGAGATCACAAGAGAAAAAGAGGAAGCTGAAAGTCTTGACCATTCAACTATTCTTTCTCTAAACATTGATTTATTTGTGAACTTACCAAATCTTAAACCAAGTCACCATTGTTCATCAGCAGTTACATATTTTTATTGACTGTAATAAGAAGTGAACTACCACTTCTTAGAAAACAATGGGCTGGGAGGGGGATAGCATAGTTCTAAAGGGAAATATATGTTTAGCCTGATGAATAATTTTACCAAAAAAGTCAGAAGGCTCTGGGTAGAAGTGAGTAGGATGAGGAATATCAAATACTTTCAGCAAGTTTCTCTGATGTACTTATATTCTTTCTCTTACTTTCCATTCCTTCAACCCAGAATATAGTTTCATTGCATTAATTAAAATACAGTAGCTGTTAGCTTTTTACTTTTGCTAGAAAACCACACAGACATCAGGTACAGAGAACAAAGAAAGGTTTATTGTCAGAAAAGGGCCCCCCCCTCAAGAACCATTCTCACAAGGGAGAAGTGAGAAGAAGCACCATCTATTGTCTGAGGTGACCTATATAACCTAGGATGTTTAGGAGGGGCCAGAAGCGGCTAGAAGGTGGAGACCCTGGTATGGATGTGTGGGACAGGGGCTTCATCATGGCAGACTAGGATTTATGGCTGCTGTCCAAATAGTAGATAAGAGGCCATGAAGCTACCCAGACCTGAAGGTCACTTTAAGGGGCTCTTGTTGCCTTATATGGTGGTAGTTGCTCCAGAGATGTGCCATCCCAAGGTAAGGGGGGGTTGGAGGCTGATTATTTACTGCCTTTACTACATGGGCCTAGTGTTGCCTAGGAAGGGAGCATGCTAAGCTGTGGAAAGGGGAAAGAGTATACTAGGCTATGGGAAGGGAGCTCATTTTGCTAACAACAGTGACATAGGAAACTGCCACCAGCAAGTTACTTAACCTTTCTTCCTGTAACTTGCTTAGTTCCCTCATCTTTAAAATGGGGATCATAAAGGCATTCAGGGATGTTATAGCATTAAATCAAATAGTATATGTAAAGTACTTAGTGCATGACATGTGGTGAGAATTATATAAAGTGACGTTCTGCTGTATGAAATTGAAAGTCCTGATTTATAGCACTTGTGATCATGGTATATAGCCAGGGATACAGTTGCCTGAATGCTTAATAGGAGATGGAGCATTTGCTTCCATGGTGATATACTCACCTGGCTGTCCTGATGTGCTGGTGATTATGGGAGGCAGAAGCTTCTTCCCATATAGTCCCCTCTGTAAACTTACTCATGTACTCACTCATGACTTGGTGGATAACATTGCCCAGAGTGAGCAATCCTAGGGAGAGAGCCAGGCAGAAATTATCCCTTTATTCCCATCCCCAATAGTGCTGAGGATAAGACCTTTCCCACTCCTGTTTAGACTTTATTTTGTCTTATGTGTATCTTGCACAGCAAGATTTTTTTTTTATCAGTGGGTGAAATGTTTTTTTGTTTTTAAGTTCTCTTTCCCTCCACACCCAGCACCCCTGTCCTTGGCATGTTTTGTTATCAGCAATCATTCTGAACAGTGTCTAATTTATGTTGAGAGGCAAAGGGCAGTTTTTGGACTTTGCAAGTTTGTTTTTAAATTACAAATAAAAAGAACTTTTAACACAAAACAAGTGCAATGGTATATGCCTGTATTACCAGTACTTGGGAGATGAGAAAGGAGGAAGATGAGTTTTAGGTTAGCCTGGATTACATAGTGAATACCAGGACAGCCTGAGCTATATAGTGAGACCTAATGCCAAAGAATCCAAAATGGGGTGGGGGGGGGGGGAGGGGGGAATTACACCTTTTCTACTGTACTTTTATACTACTTACCTATATACTACCTTGACATCTGGCCAACAAGATTGTGGACTTCTGCAGGTGTTCCACCATTTAAGCCATGCTTCTGGTTCTTTCTTTTTGCTCTCATCATCATCATCATCATTATTATTATTATTAGGGTCCAGTCGTGGGGCCTGAACCCTGGGCCTGGGCGCTGTCCCTCAGTTCTTCAGCTCAAGGCTAGTGCTCTACCACTTGAGCCACAGCGCCACTTCCGGCTTTTTTCTTTTTTTGCTTATGTGGTGCTGAGGAATCGAACCCAGGGCCTCATGCATGCAAGGCAAGCGCTCTACCACTGAGCCACCTTCCCAGCCCCATGCTTTCATTATTTTTAAAACTGGGTGTTGGTTTTTGCCGTGGCTGGTCTATACGTTGGTCTTTCTATACGTTTCTCCACTACCTGGTCTTGCAAACTTTATTCTCGGGCTGGCCTCAAATTGCGATCCTCCCCATCTCCACCTACATAGTAGCTAAAATTACAGACGTTAGGAACAGCGCCTATCCTTGGTTGTAAATTCCTTGCGTCTCGAATTTTGTATTCATTGAATTATAAAATACACGTGCGGCATCATTTATTCAACCGTTAGTAAGGACTCAATGAAAACCCTCTGCACTCACCACATTAAACCTGGATTGGGGTAGCGCGTGCGCAATCATTCTCCGCGCTCAGCCTGGGCGGGGCGTCCCGCAGCCGTGACGTCACAGCCCTGCGCCACTCCACGCCGAGGCCACCACTCCACGGTGGGGCCGCGGCCGTTTGGCAGCTCGAGACTCCGGGATGGCAGAGCAAGTTTCTCCGGGGAAGTCGGCGGACCGGGTGTGCACGTTCCTCTTCAAAAAGCCCAAGCGGAAAGGCATTGCTGGCCGCAGGAAGCGTCCGTCGTGCGGCCCGGAGTCTGGGGACAGCGACAGCAGTAGCGACGAAAGCAGCACTGTGGTCCGACCCGAGAAGAAGCGGGCAGTTCACAACCCCATGGTCCAGAAGACGCGCGGTGTCGGCCAACCGAAGGCGTCCGACGGCCGCCCGAGCGGGGACGGGGACCCGGGGGAGGAGGAGGAGGAGGAGGAAGAGGAGAGTGCAAGTCTGGGCGTGGTCTACAAGTCCACCCGCTCTGCCAAGCCCGCGGGGCCTGAGGATATGGGCGCGACCGCCGTGTACCAGCTGGACACAGACAAGGAGCGAGATGCACAGGCCATCTTCGAGCGCAGCCAGAAGATCCAGGAAGAGCTGAAGGGCAAGGAAGATGACAAGATCTACCGAGGAATCAATAACTACCAGAAATACATAAAGCCCAAAGACACATCCATGGGCAACGCATCCTCCGGGATGGTCAGGAAGGGCCCCATCCGAGCGCCCGAGCACCTGCGTGCCACAGTGCGCTGGGATTACCAGCCGGACATCTGTAAGGACTACAAGGAGACTGGCTTCTGCGGCTTTGGAGACAGCTGCAAATTCCTCCACGACCGTTCAGATTACAAACACGGGTGGCAGATCGAGCGTGAGCTTGATGAGGGTCGCTATGGTGTCTGTGAGGAGGAAAACTACGAAGTAGGAAGCGATGATGACGAAATACCATTCAAGTGTTTCATCTGTCGTCAAACCTACCAAAACCCAGTTGTCACCAAGTGCAAGCATTATTTCTGTGAGAGCTGTGCATTGCAGCATTTCCGCACCAGTCCGCGCTGTTATGTCTGTGACCAGCAGACCAGCGGTGTCTTCAATCCTGCCAAAGAACTGATTGCTAAACTGAGGAAGCATAGAGCTGCAGCAGAGTGTGGTGCTTGCAGTATTGCAGAGGACCCCGATGGAGTTTAATTCTCATGGCTTGGGTTTTTCATAAATTTCCCTTCGAAATATTTTTCTTCTGGTCTTCAAAAGCTCCCCAAAACAACCGTAACCGAAGGAATGGGTTTTAGTTTCTAGAAGGAATATCAAGTTTGTTTTATATGAATATGCTGCAGATTGAATCAATACAGTCAACTTTTCAGGAACTCTCAACATGTCATAGTTATACATTCAAATCAAAATGAGTTTAGTACATACTCTGGTGAGCAGTGTGTCATTTTTCCGCTTGAAAGAACAGTGTTGCCGCCTAGTGGTTAAATAGACTTCAGATCTTCCAAAGAGCTGTTAATAAACACTTTAGAAATTCAGAAGTTACTAGTTTATGGGGAAAAATAAGGCGGTTAATTGGAATTTCAAACAGAGGAAACGGGGCAAGTGTCAGGGGCCAGTGTACTTAAAGTTGGAAGATAGACGTTAAGGAAAAAAAGTTTATGCACGATTCATTTTGCAATTTGGAAAGAGACTAGCTACACTTAAATTGTAAGTTATTAAGGCATATGTTTAAAAAAAAAAAAGCTGATATGTGGTGCACACCTGTAATCCCAGCTGCTGAAGCAAGAGGATCCATAGTTCCAGGTAAGCCTGGGCAACACTGTCTACCTGATTAACAGAATAAGTACTGGTAGGTTATTTTTTTAGGTGCTTGTTTTAGTTCTTTGACAAAGTGGTAATGTGTATTTCATCAAATTTAACAGATTAAGAAACAAAGATGCCAGGTGTCTGTGGCTCATGCATGTAACTCTATCTATTCAGGAGGGCCAAGATGGTGAGTCAAAAAGTTTAGGGACAGCTCCCAGGCCCTGGTGCTGAGTTCAAGTACACACAAAAGAAAGGAAAGGAAAATAACCCTTCTGAGCTGTGAATGTGGCTTAGTGGCTTAGAGTGCTTGCCTAGCATGAATGAAGCTCTGGGTTCAATTCCTCAGTACCACATACCAGAAAAAGCTGCAAGTGGTGCTATGGCTCAAGTAGTAGAATGCAAGCCTTGAGCAAAAAAAGCTCAGGGACAGAGCTCAGGCCCTGACTTTAAGCCCAGGACTGGCTAATAATAATAAATAACCCTGCTACTCACAGTTACATAACCTGAAGGTAGCAGTAACTTGTTAAAATTTTGGTATGTAGTGTTCTGCTTTGTAGAAATATAACTTGTCTATGTGCTGTTTTTACAAAAGTCATGTACAAATTGTTACTCTGATGTTTTACTTACTATTGTAACATTTTTCAGTGCCATTAAATATTTTTGTAAACTCTTGGAAAAAATAAGGAATTACGTTGGATAGATATAGCATAACTTATTAATGGTTCTTTGCTGTTATACTGTAATAAATGATGAAAATCTAAGGAATGAGAAAATACCTTTTTTTTTTCTTTTTTTTTGGCTGGTCCTGGGGCTTGAACTCAGGGCCTGGGTTCTGTCCCTGAGCCTCTCTATGCTCAAGGATAGGGCTCCACCACTTGAGCCACAATGCCACTTCCTGCTTTTTCTGAGTAGTTTATTGGAGATAATAGTCTCACACATTTTCCTGCCTGGACTGGCATTGAACTGTGATCCTCAGATCTTAGGATTACAAGCATGAGCCACTGGTGGTCTGGGGGCATGATCTCAGGGCCTAGACCCTGCCTTAGCTCTTTTTTTTTCCCTCAAAGTAAGAGTCTCACAGATTTTTCCTGCCTGGGCTGGCTTTGAACCACTATCCTCACATCTCAGCCTCCCAAGAAGTTATGATTATAGGCATGAGTTATTTGTGTCTGGCTCTCCGGTAACTTCTTAGAAGTAGAATGTATGGGTTAAAGACTGTGAATGGTGTGCTTGCTGGTTTGTGCCAGTAGTACCAGATAGTAAGGTAGGATACTGAGCTTGAGTCCAGAAATTCAGGCATGTGGTGTGCTATGTTCATTGGGTGTCTGCACCCAATGACATCAAGGTATTGACCTGATCAGTGGGGATTACCATATTACAAGTATTGATTAGTGCTAGGATCATGCCTAAGAATACCTCTGCACTCCAGTCTGTACAATACATCCAGAACGCTGGGCACCGGTAGCTCACGCCTGTAATCCTAGCTACTCAGGAGGCTGAGATGTGAGGATCGAGGTTCAAAGCCAGCCGGGGCAGGAAAGACCGTGAGACTCCTATCTCCAATAAACCACTAGAAAACTGGAAATGGCACTGTATCTCAAGTGGTAGAGTGCTTGCCTTGGCTGAAGAGCTGAGGGACAGTGCCCAGGCCCAGAGTTCAAGTCCCATGACTGACAAAAAAAAAATGTATATCTATCTATCTATCTACAGATAACAAGAACCTGTTCATCTCTTTAGAAAAAAAAAAAAGCAAAACATGAACTCATTTTCTTTTTTGTGTGTGTGCAGTCTGGGGCTTGAACTCTGGGCCTGGGAGCTGTCCTTGAGCCTCTTTGTGCTCAAAGCTAGTGCTCTACCACTTGAGCCACAACGCCACTTCTGGCTTTTTTTTTATTTACTGGAGATAAGAGTCTCAGATTTTCCTACCTGGGCTGGCTTTGAACCACAGTCCTCAGATCTCAGCCTCTTGAGTAGCCAGGATTACAGGTGTGAGCCACTGGCATCGGGCAAGACATGAACTTTTAACAATTGTGATGTGTATTATCTAATGGCATATTGTCTAATTGCATATGAAAGGTCCATTTCTATAGACCTCCAAGATGTTTTTGTAGAATTTTATGTTGACAGTTTTGAAAGTCTTTGAAATTATCTGAAACTGTTTAGGAAGAAAGAACATCTGAAAGAGGCCATATATAAAATGAAGATTTAATATGGTAGAATAGATTATAGGGGCTGGAGATACAGTTCAACTGGTACAGCACTAACAGTGAGCACACAATCTGAACAAGAGTCCCTGAGTTCAAGCTCTGGTATTGACAAAAATAAAAACATTTTAAGAAAAATTGTAAGTATATATTAAACATTTAATTACACTAAGTACTTTTCCTATATTATTTACTCTTATTTAAGTCTTTCCACTCCTATAGGAGATAAATACTATTATACTATTTTTTTTAATGGTACTGTCCTGTTTTTTTATGCCTGGCAACCTGAATCAACAGTCAAGTGACTTCTTGGAGTCAGACAGCCAGTGAGACAATCATCATTTAACCTACTCTTTGTCTGATGGAAAGACCTGTACTGCCTTTTTTTCAACATGAATGGTAGATTAAGTATGTCTGTTTCCATCTTATTCTTGCCAGTAGAATATCGTCTGTTTAGTTCATATTTCCTTACCTAAAAGAATTTTATGTCTCTTATCCTGCATAGTTTTAGAGAATAGAAGTAGGGAGACCTATCCATTAAGGAGAAGCCTGTGTACTAATAAGATTTGAGTTAGTGATACATCTATCTCTAGGTATTTTTCCTCACAAAAGTGATTTTTGTGTGTGTCTGTGCTGGCTCTGGGGCTTGAACTGGGCCTGGATGCTGTCTTGTTGTTGTTGTTGTTTTGTTGTTGTTCTTTGTTTTTTAGTCAGTCTTAGGGTTTGAACTCTGGGCCTCTGCAACTGTCCCTGAGCTCTTCAGCTCAAGGCAACTGCTTTACCACTTGAGCCACAGGACCACTTCCGGTTTTCTGGTGGTTAATTGGAAATAAGAGTCTCATGGACTTACCTGCCTGAGTTAGCTTTGGACTGTGATCCTCAGATTTCAGCCTCCTGAGTAGCTAGGATTACAGGTGTGAGCTACCAGCGCCCAGCTTGTCTCTAGATTTTTTTGTTCAACACTAGCACTATACCACTTGAGCCTTTTTGTAGTTAGAGATAAGAGTTCCATGACTTTCCTGCCGAGGCTTGCATCAAATTATGGTCCTCAGATCTCACCCTCCTGAGTAGCTAGACATGAACTGGTACCCCACCAAGATGATTATATGAGGTGAGAGAATTGTATAGTCTGGCTCCTAAGGTTTTTCCAATTCTAAAATTTTATGATTTTATAATTCCATACTTGAAGGCATTTGGAAAAAGAATAACTTGTCTGAATGTGGAGAACTGTTATCAATGTATAAGAGTCTTAAATTTTCCCCACCTAGCACACATGAGGCCACAAGTACAATATGAAGTACCATTAAAAAAAAAAAAAAAAGCAAACAAAAAAAAATGTGGGGGAAACACCATCTCAGTCTTACAAGTCTGTAGAAGATGAGGGAAACATAGTACTCAGAGGCAAGTAAATTGAAGTTTTCTACGTCTTTAGGATCAGGAATTAGTGTATAACAGGAAATGTTTCTTCATTAGAATTTTTCCAATTGATCATTTTTTTTTTTTACTTTTAAATTTCAGCTGAAAGAAAGTTTAAGGAACACGGAGAAGAAACATCAGGACACTCTCCGAAGACTGGAAGGCAAATTCTTTGAAGAAAAGGTATGGAATATTAGGAAATTTAAGAAAAGCTCACTAGAACAAAAGTATGTCTTCTAAGATGTATCAACATTTTATTTGGTCTTATTAGAACACAGCAAAAGCTGTTTGTCAGGGCATACATCTGCAGTTCTGGCATTCAGGATACTGAGGCAGGAGAACTATGAGTTGATGGCCAGTTTGGGATATGTAGTGAGACCCTGTCTTAAAAAAAATCAAAAAGCAGGCTGGGAAGATGATTCAGTGGTAAAGTGCTTGCCTTGCATGCATGAGGCTCTCGGTTCGATTCCTCAGCACCACATAAATAGAAAAAGCTGGAAGTGGCGCTGTGGCTCAAGTGGTAGAACTCTTGCCTTGAGCTGAAGAGTTGAGGGACAGCACCCAGGTCCAAAATTCAGGCCCCATGACAAAAAAAAAAAAAAAGCAAAAAGCAAAAAACACAACAAAATAAAAATAGGGAAAGCAGAAAGCAGATCTCAATATTTAGTCCTTTATGTGCTGGGCACTTAGAGATTCCTTGTTTAGGGCTGGAAAGGTGGCTCAGTGGTAGAGTGCTTACCTTGCATGCATGAGGCCCTGAGTTTGATTCCTCAGCACCACATAAGCAGGGGGAAAAAAAGCTGGAAGTGGCACTGTGGCTCAAGTGGTAGAGCGCTAGCCTTGAGCTGAAGAGCTGAGGGACAGTGCCCAGGCCCAGAGTTCAGGCCCACAACTGGACCCTCCCCCCCCCCCCCCAAAAAAAAAGAGAGATTCCTTGTTTAGTTTGTTAATTTTTTTTTTTTTGTCAGTCGTGGGGCTTGAACTCTGGGCCTGGGCGCTGTCCCTCAGCTCTTCAGCTCAAGGCAAGCGCTCTACCACTTGAGCTACAGCGCCACTTCCAGTTTTCTGGTGGTTTATTGGAGATAGGAGTCTCACGGTCTCTCCTGCCCGGGCTGGCTTTGAACCGCGATCCTCAGATCTCAGCCTCCTGAGTAGCTAGGATTACAGGCGTGAGCCACCAGCGCCCGGCTAGTTTGTTAATTTTTAACTGATAAAAGCAAAAATTTTAAGCTGGGCACTGGTGGCTCATGCCTATAATCTTAACTACTCAGAAGGCTGAGATCTCAGGATTGTGGTTCCAAGTCAGCCCAGGCAAACTAATCCTTGAGATTCTTAGCTCCAATTACTGGCTAATATAAGTAAGCTAGAAGTGGAGATGTGCTCTTTTTTTTTTTTTTTTTTTTTTGGTCAGTTATGGGGCTTGACTCTCGGCCTGGGCCCTATCCCTGAGCCTCTTTGTGCTCAAGGCTAGCACTCTACCACTTCAGTCAGATTACCACTTCCCAAGTTTTGATCATATTTGAGCAAGAAGGAAGGAAGGTTCCAAATGTGTTTCTCTGTTTTATATGGAGGTCATAAAAACTGTCCCAGAAGATCCTAGTGGGTTTCTTTTACCTTATTGTCCTGAACTATGTTTTAAAAGATGCTAGGAAACTGATTAGTGGAAGTTTGGATGTTGGGAAAGTTATTTTCTTTTTCCAGTCACCTAGTGGAATTTGAGATGGGAAAAGGAGGATGTGAATAATTGTTGGTTGGCAATATCTGCCTTTTACCATATTGGTACATACTAGCTTGAGCCTCAGGGCTGCTATTACATGATAGTGGGCCTTCCAATAGGAAATAATTTACATAAAGCTCTTAGAACTATGCCGGGGACACAGGAAATTCTCAGTATGTTATTATGATTTGGCTTCTATACTGGATCCAGGAATGCATTAAATTAGGAAACTTTTCTGTTTTTTTTTTTTTACCACAGAATCTTTATTATTTTAAACAACTTGATATAGTAATAGTGTCCAATAGGCATTTATTGAATTGATAAGTGACTGACTGTTAGAAATAGCTTGAGATGTTGGGATGTCACATAGGAATGAAGACACTAACTTGAACTCTGCAAGGCAAAGTTTACTTCTGCAGAAGGATGGGCCCAGTGGTCAGCCAAAAACCTGGCAGGCAAGCACACAAAGCAGGCAGGCTGCTCCCTTTTTAGCCCTAACCCAGCAATCTCCCCCTTTCCCACCACACCCCTCCCCCTACCTTCCCTCTCCCTCCATCATTGACTGAGTTCAGGTTCACAATTTGCAAAAGGATGTGGCTTAATTAACAGGATGGAATTAAAATTTAAAGAGCTTCCAACAGGATTTCTCTTTTTTTTTTTTGGGGGTCCGGTCGTGGGGCCTGAACTCTGGGCCTGGGCACTGTCCCTCAGCTCTTCAGCTCAAGGCTAGCGCTTACCACTTGAGCCACAGCTCTACTTCCGGCTTTTTTCTTTTTTCTTTATGTGGTGCTGAGGAATCGAACCCAGGGCCTCATGCATGCAAGACAAGCGCTCTACCACTGAGCCACCTTCGCAGCCCCTCTAACAGGATTTCTTAAAGTGCTCAGAAAAAGAAGAATGTAAATAACAAAAGGGCCAAGCCACCTGGCCAAAAAAGCAGGAAGATTCAGAAAAATAATTTTCGCAAGATTAACAGAAAGGAAGCAAACTACTTGAATAGAAAAGCTTTTCTCATAACTGTCAATCACATTGAATTAGTAGAAATTTCCTTCAGTTCTGCCCTCCATTATGGGTATGGTTTCCTGGTTCCTCCATGTACATATCATGTTTGATGGGGAAATTGATACACCTAAGTTCTTGTGTTCAAGCTATCCTTTTTGCTGCCTTTTCTCAGTATTTTTAGAATTCTTTGCATCAGGTCAAATGGACCACTAGTATTTTATCTGACATTCTGAACTAATTACTTTCTGATGTATACATTTCTGATGTATACATTTTTGGTACCAATCCTGGGGCTTAAATTTAGGGTCTGGGTGTTGTCCCTGAACTTTTTTCCTTAACACTGCTCTCTACCAGTTGAGCCTCAGCTCCACTACAGGCTTTTTGGTGGTTAAGAAATAGGAGCCTTGGGCTGGGAAGGTGGCTCAGTGGTAGAGCACTTGCCTTGCATGCCTGAGGCCCTGGGTTCGATTCCTCAGCACCACATAAGCAAAAAGAAAAAAGCAGGAAGTGGCGTTGTGGCTCAAGTGGTAGAGCACTAGCCTTGAGCTGTAGAGCTGAGGGACAGTGCTCAGGCTGAGAGTTCAGGTCCCACGACCAGACCCCCCCAAAAAAAACAAAAAGAAATAGTTGCCTAATGGACCTTTCTGCCTGGGTTGACTTTAAACAGTAATCTTCAGATCTCAACCATCTGAATAGCTAGGAGTACAGGCATGAGCCACTAGGGCCCAGCTACAATTTGTTTTAAAAAATATAATTTTGTATTTAATCGCCCTGTTTTATTTTCTAGCACCGTCTAGAAAAAGAGGCTGAAAAGAAGATAGTAATGCTGGCAGAGAGAGCCCACCATGAAGCTGTGGTGTAAGTTGTTGCCTCCTGTTTTAGATAATTTCTTTTAATTGGTCTGTTTTCTCCTTACCTTCCTGCTTCTTTCCTGGCAAGCTTTCTTCTAATGTTTGGCCTACTCTTACTCCCTGTTTCTTTCTCTTTGTATGCCCTACTCATTATGTCTACCTCTCTAGTAAGTAGCATGACATGTTAGAACTTAAGCTTTGGAAGTTAGGCTCATTTTCAACATGCATCTTAACTGACCAAATAATTATTAACTTACTTGAAAGTTAGTTACTTCATGTGAAAATTGGCTACAGCTGGGCATGGTGGTACATGTCTGTAATCCTAACACTTGGGAAGCTAAAAGGAAGAGGACCACAAGTTCTAGGCAAGCCTGGCTAGTGAGACCCTGTCTCAGAAAAAAGTAAAAATAAAAGTTAAAAAAATTCTGAAAGTAGGGCCATAATATTAACTTTGCAGGATTTTCATGAGGTATATTAGTGAAAGTAACACTAAAGTGCATTATATTAACAAATGAACTCTCAGGTTCAATGACTTTTCATGTTCCATGTTGGAATGGCAGTTTTCTTTCAGTGGTGATTTAGGAACCTGAACTGTTTCTATCTTTTACCTCTACCACTTGTAGTTCTTCAAGTTCTTCAATTAAGTGGATAGAATAAAGCGTGGGAAGCTCATACCTGGAAGCCACATAGCACTTTTGTCACTATGTTGCCCAAGGCACTTGAGATCATTTTGCTTCAGCCTTTCAAGTGCTGGAATTTTATGCATGTGTCATCACTTTTCACTTTACTATAAGATAAGAATTTAGTCACAAGAATACCCACAGTAAGTTACATGAGTAGTGGTCATGCACATGTGTAAGTATTGCTAGGGATCAAACCTAGGACCTTGCATATGTAAGCAATCATTTTGTCACTGAGCTACATACCTAGCCCAGTGGTGGCTATTAATAATGTTGAAGCAATCATTGTTGTAATTTAGTAATATCTTAAACTTAGGCCTATGTTTTAGATAGTTATATTTGCTTATTTCAGACAACTGAATGCTGCTGGAAGAAATGTTTTTAAAGAGAATGTTTATCTCCAGAAAGCTCTTTCATACCACCTAAAGGAAGCTGATGCTCTACAAAAAGATTCCCAGAGGTTGCAAGAGAGTCATACTATCCTTTTACATCAAAAGGTTCCCATTTTCATTTGGGTTTTGTTTCCTATTGTTTTGTTTAGGAATTGGATTGGTAAATTCCAAGAATTGAGTATAATAATAATACATATGGACATAAGAGTATTCTTTATCTAATTGATGACTTGAAAAGATTATCGGGCTGGGAAGGTGGCTCAGTGGTAGAGTGCTTGCCTTGCATGCCTGAGGCCCTGGGTTCAATTCCTCAGCACCACATGAGCAAAAAGAAAAAAGCCAGAAGTGGCGCTGTGGCTCAAGTGGTAGAGTACTAACCTTGAGCTGAAGAGCTGAGGGACAGTGCCCAGGCCCAGAGTTCAGGCCCCATGACCGGACCCAAAAAAAGAAAAGATTAATTATCAAATGACTTATAAGACACATAGGCTTGGACTGGGAATGTAGCTTATTGGTAGAGTGCTTGCCTAGCATTCATGAAACCCTCCTCAGTACCACATAAATAAAAAAAGCCAGAAGTGGTGCTGTGGCTCAAGTAGTAAAGTACTAACCTTGAGCAAAAGAAGCTCAGGGATAGTGCCCAGAGCATGAATTCAAGCCCCAGGACTGGCCAAAAAAAGAGAAAAGGACACTTAGGCTTAACTTTATATAGAATGAACCAGAAATACAAACATGATGATTCATATCTTCTGTTACCTTAGAATGCTTGTTTTGCTTTGCCTCTTGTTGATCACTTTGGAATTGGTTTGGCTGTGAGGAAACCCTTTTGTGGTGATACCACATAAGGACTTATTTCTTCTCCTAAAAGAAGTCTGTAGGTAATCAATCCAGAGCAGGAAAGTTCATGTCACAAAATCAAGAAATAGCTTCTTTAGCTCTACTCTTCCATATGTGACCTGCATCCTCAGAGTTGCTTTATGGCCAACATGGCTATTGGAGCTGTACTCCAAACAACAGAAAGGAAGGGTAAGAAGACAAAAAACATGTGCTCTTTAGAGGTCTTCTTGGGAATCCTACACATATTTCTATCTATAGCTCACTCACCAGAACTTAACTGTGCAGAATTGCAAGGGAAGCTGGGCTTTTAGCTGAGCATATTGCCTCTCTAAATAATAAAGAAAAAAAGGAAAGGGAAAATGGACTATGGGATAGGTGAGCAGGAGACTACTATATTTTTGTTACACAATGTTTTACTGTGTAGTTTTACTGACTTTGATAGTATAAAATATTTAAGCTTTCAGAATTCTAGAGAAAGTTTCATAATTAGTAAAATCAGTGGATTAACTTCACAAATCCCGGCATGGACCCAAGGATATTTATTGCTTTTTTTTTTTTTAACTGTATTTTTTTTTTGTCTTTTCTTTTTTGGTACTGGGGATTGAACCCAGGATGTTGCACTTGCTAGGCAAGTGCTTTGCCACTGAGCTACATCCCAGCCCTATTTATTGCTTCTTATATGCAAAAATGACAAAATAATCACCAACTCATCCTGTTGTCAAATATCATGAAGGTAGTGGAAATTATTGAGCAACTTTTAAATTCTGGATCAATTAAAAAAAACTCATCTTTTCTGTTTTTAGGAGATCAATGAGTTATTAATTAAAGAAAAGATTATGCAACTTGCCCAGCAGAAATCACAAATCCAGACTCTTCAGAAGAGGGTGTTAAACTTGGAGAATGCTCTAACTTTCATGACTAGAGAGTTTGAGGCAGAAATTTTGAAACTGCGGCAACAGGCAACCATAGAGAATCAGGCAGGTCTGGTAGAAATTGACAAGCTGCAGCAGATTCTTGATATGAAGGACAAGGAAATGAATCGAGTGAAGAAGCTGGCCAAGAACATACTGGATGAGAGGACAGAAGTGGAAAATTTCTTTCTAGATGCTCTACACCAAGTGAAGCAACAGATTATATTCAGCAGGAAAAACTATAAGGAGTTAGCACAAGCTGCTTTCAATTTAAAGATGAGAACAGCATGTTCAGGAAGAACAGAATATCCCCAAATCAGGACATTTGATGGCAGAGAATACAGCACTAATAGTGTGAATCAAGATCTCATAGAGGCTGAAAAATGGTACTAATAACACTTGAACACATTGCTTTTTTGTATTGCCTTTTAATGTCCTTTAAAGAAATAAGAACTCAGAATAAGTTCAGTTTGGTAATATCCAAATGTTGAAGTGATTTTTCAGTAAGTTATTGAGGATAGGTGCTGTCTTACTCATCTTTGAAACCTCTATGTTTAACAGTTATGTGGGACTTGGTATGTATGTGTTTTTATTTTTTGGTTGGTCATGGAGCATAAACTTTGGGATTGGGTGCTGTCTCTGAGCTCTTTTGCTCAAGGCTAGCACTCTGCCACTTTGAGCCACAGCTCCACTTCTGGTTTGAGGATAGTTAAATTGAGATAAGAATCTCATGGACTTTTTTTGGTCCCAGTGGCTTCAAACCACAATCCTCAGATCTCAGCCTCCTGAATAGTTCGGATTACAGGTGTGAACTACCAGCACCTGTCTTGTTTTGTGTTCTTAGTAGACACCTCTTTTTTGCAGGGGGGGGGGGAAAGGGGTCCGGTTATGAGGCCTGAACTCTGGGCCTGGGTGCTGTCCCTCAGCTCTTCAGCTCAAGGCTAGTGCTCTACCACTTGAGCCACAGCGCCACTTCCAGCTTTTTTCTTTTTTGCTTATGTAGTGCTGAGGAATCGAACCCAAGGCCTCATGCATGCCAGGCAAGTGCTCTACCACTGAGCCACCTTCCCAGCCCCTCTTTTTTTTTTTTTTCATGGTAGAAATTTGTTAAAGAAACTAAATTATTTCTACCAAAAGATGTCACTGTAGTATCTTTTACCAGCTCTAACTTGGAAAGTACTTATAAGTTAATTTCAGCTTAAATAATTTTTAGTAAGCATATGTTTTATTGTATTAGCTTTACTATCCTTGGATGAAATTCATAGGTAATATCAAAATTTTTTTTTTTTTTTTTGGGTCTGGTTGTGGGGCCTGAACTCTGGGCCTGGGCGCTGTCCCTCAGCTCTTCAGCTCAAGACTAGTGCTCTACCACTTGAGCCACAGCGCCACTTCCGGCTTTTTTCTTTTTGCTTATGTGGTGCTGAGGAATCGAACCCAGGGCCTCGAGCATGCAAGGCAAGCGCTCTACCACTGAGCCACCTTCCCAGCCCCATATCAAAATTTTTAAAATGGAGTTTAATATTCTTTTTTTTTTAATTTGTTTTTCTCCAGTCCTGGTGCTTGAACTCAGGGCTGAGCACTGTCCCTGAGCTTCTTATGTTCAAGGCTGGCACTCTGTCACTTGAGCCACAGCACTACTTCTGGCTTTTTCTGTTTATGTGGTAATGAGGAATGGAACCTCGGACTTCATGCATGCTAGGCAAGCACTCTACCATTAAGCCACATTCCCAGCCCCAACAGTTTAATATTCTTTGTAGTAGTTTTGCAAAAATGTTTTGTGGGTTGGAAGATATTCAGTAATGCTCCTCCACATTGCTGTATTTCTCTCCCAATTTTCAAAATACACTACGAATTTCCTGCCACTGTATAAAGGTAATAGAATTCTTGAGACAGTTGATGACTGTCTACATTGATTAGTGTTTCCTGTTGTGTTTTGTTTGGTTTGGTTTGGTTTGGTCAGTTGTGGGGCTTGAACTCAGGGCCTGAGTGCTGTCCATGAGCCTCTTTGTGTTCAAGGCTAGCACTGTACTACTTGAGCCACAGCACCACTTCCAGTTTGTTTTGTTTTTTTTTTTGTTGGTCGTGGGGCTTGAACTCTGGGCCTGGGCGCTGTCCCTCAGCTCTTCAGCTCAAGGCGAGTGCTCTACCGCTTGAGCCACAGTATCACTTCCGGTTTTCTAGTGGGTTTTATTGGAGATAAAAGTCTCATGGACTTTCCTGCTAGACTGGCTTTGAACTGTGATTCTCAGATCTCAGCCTCCTAAGTAGCTAGGATTACAGGCATGAGCCACCAGCACTTGGCCACTTCCAGTGTTTGAGTGGTTTATTGGAGATAAGGGTCTATCAGGGACTTTTCTGCCTAGTCTGGCTTCTATAGATTGCAGCCTCCTGAGTATCTAGGATTACAGGCGTGAACCACCAGAACCCATTCCTGTTGGTACTTTTGCCTCTTAACATAGTCTTTCTCCATCAACCACTAAATTAGAAATTATATTTAATTATATTGTTTAAATTATAGTACATCTTTTTTTTGGGGGGAAGGGTAGTCTTAGGGCTTGAACTCAGGGCCTGGTCATTGTCTCTGAGCCTCTTTTTGGTTAAGGCTAGCACTACTCTACCATTTAAGCCATAGCGCCACTTCCAGCTTTTTCTGAGTATTTTTATTTATTTATTTATTTATTTATTTATTTTGTTGGTTGTAGGGCTTGAACTCTAGGCTTGGGCGCTGTCCCTCAGCTCTTCAGCTCTAGGCACAGCGCTCTACCTCGTGAGCCACAGTGCCACTTCCGGTTTTCTAGTGATTTATTGGAGATAAGAGTCTCACAGACTTAGCCCGGGCTGGCTTTGAACCACTATTCTCAGATCTCAGCCTCCTGAGTAGCTAGGATTACAGGTGTGAGCCACCAGTGCCCGGCTCTGAGTATTTTATTGAAGATAAGCGTCTCACAGACTTGTCTGCCTGGGCTGGCTTTGAACCAGGATCCTCAGATCTCAGCTTCCTGAGTAGCTAGTATTACAGGCGTGAGCCCCTGGCACCTGGCTCTACATTTTGAAGATTATCCGAAAAAGTGTTTTTTCTAACTTAATTTGATTCTTAAAAGGACAAGTTAAAAGGAAAACTTAAAAGGATTTCTTACTATTATTAACTCAGAATTTCTTTTCTTTTGTCTCAGTACCATAGCTTGAACTCAGGGTCTCACACTCTTGGTCTGCTTGGCTTGATCGCTTGCTTGCTTGCTCACAGCTAACACTCTACTATTTAAGCCATGCTTTCAGCCCAGCTTTTTGTTAATTAATTGGAGATAGAGTCTCACAGACTTTTCAGTCTGAGGTTGCTTTGAACTATAATCCTCTGATCTTAGCCTACTGAGTAGCTAGAATTACAAGTGTGAGTCAACAGTACCCAGCTTGAATTTAGCATCTTAGTGGGTTACCAAATGCATTTTCTGAGCTGGGCGCTGGTGGCTCATGCCTATAATCGTAGCAACTTGGGAGGCTGAGGATCACTATTTGAATGCAGCTGAGGCAGGAAAGTCCATGAGATTCTTACCTCTAATCACCCAAAAACTGGAAGCAGAACTGTGGCTCAAGTGGTAGAACCTTGAGTAAAAAAAGCCCCGAAAAAGCATCCAGGCCCTGGATTCAAACCTCAGTACTGGCACAACAACCAAAAAAGGCATTTTCTGTTTAATGATTATTGTTTGGTGCAGTGCTGGGGATCTAACCCAGGGCTTTGTGTATACTGGGTGTCAAGTGCTTTGCCACTGACCTGCATCTCTCCCATATATGTATTTAAGACAGGATCTCACACCAGATTGGCCTAGAACTCACTTTGTAGCCCAGGTTGCCATCAAATTTGTAATTTTTTTTTCTTTTGTCAGTTGTGGGGCCTGAATTCTGGGCCTGGGCGCTGTCCCTCAGCTCTTCAGCTCAAGGTTTAGCACTCTACTACTTGAGCCACAGTGCCATTTCTGTTGATGTGGTACTGAAGAGTTGAACCCAGGGCTTCATGCATGCTAGGCAAGCACTCTACTATTAAGCCACATTCTCAGCCCTACTCAGCAGTCAATGTCCTATTGTATCATCAGAATTCTGTCACTGAACTTTATCTCCATTTACTTATTTATTTATAATTTCAGACAAGATCTCATTAAGTTGCTCAGGCTGACCTCAAACTTAAAATCCTTGATACTCTTTTGAGAAGCTAGGATTACAGATGTATGCCTTCACACCCCAAAAACGTTTATGTTATACAACATCAGTATTAACTTTTTTGTTGTTAGTAGTAGGACTTGAACTCTGGGCTTGGGTGCTGTCCCTCAGCTCTTCAGCTTAAGGCTAGCACTCTACCATGAGCCACAGTGCCAATTCCAGTTTTCTGAGTGGTTTACTGGAGATAAGAGTCTCACGGACTTTCCTGTCTTGGCTGGCTTTGAACCATGATCCTCAGATCTCAGCCACCTGAGTAGCTAGGATTATAGAGTGAGCCCCTGACGCCCAGCTTCATATTAACTCTTTTTCTGTTATGTGGTACTGAGAAATCGAACCCAAGGCTTCATGCATGCTATGCAAGCACTCTACCACATTCCCAGCCTTCATAACTTTTTTTTTTTTTTTGTCAGTCGTGGGGCTTGAACTCTGGGCCTGGGCGCTGTCCCTCAGCTCTTCAGCTCAAGGCGAGTACTCTACCACTTGAGCTACAGCACCACTTCCGGTTTTCTGGTGGTTTATTGGAGATAGGAGTCTCACGGTCTCTCCTGCCCGGGCTGGCTTTGAACTGTGATCCTCAGATCTCAGCCTCCTGAGTAGCTAGGATTACAGGCGTGAGCCACCAGCACCCGGCCCAGCCTTCATAACTTTTTAAAAAATAGTAGCTTATGAAGTTTTGGAAAAAATTATTAAGACCTGCCTAGAAAGCTTAGCTGGAAATAATGTAGTTACAGCCTTAGCTAGAAGCACAAAAATAGAGCAGGATCCCTTTGGCATGCCTATAATCCTAGCTGCTCAAGAGGCTAAGTTCTGGAGAATCATGGTTCAAAGCCAGCTCAGACAGAAAAGTCTGAGATTCCATCTCCCAAAATAACTACCAAAAGGCTGGTGTAGAGGCATGGTTTAGGGGGTAGGGCACCAAAAAAAGCAAGACACTTTAAGTTTGAAGCCTTAGGTCCTGAGTTGAGCCCCCCCTCCCCTTAATAACCAAATTTATTTTTCTTGTAAACTCAGGGTTTAGGCACTATCCCTTTAGCTTTTTCTTTTAGGGCTGGCAGTCCACTACTTGAGCCACAACTCTATTCTGGCTTTTTGGTACTTAATTGAAGATAAAGAGTCTCACAGACTTTTCCTGGCTTCAAACTGCAATCCTTCAGTCTCAGCCTACTGAGTACCTAGGATTATAGGCATGAGCCACTGGTGCCTGGCTATCTAAGTTTATCTTTTTCTGTTTTCATAACAGTATTTTATAGAAAAAGAAATGCCTGGGTCTGGGTATGTGGCTTAGAGGTAGAGTGCTTGCCTAGCATGCATGAAACTCTGGGTTCGAGTCCTCAGTACCACATAAACAGAAAAAGCTGGAAGTGGTGCTTTGACTCAAGTGGTACAGTGCTAGCCTTGAGCAAAAGAAGCTCAGAGACAGTGCCCAAGCCCTGAGTTCAAGCCCCAGGACTGGCAGGAAAAAAAAATACTTTAAGGGCTGGGAAGGTGGCTCAGTGGTTAGAGCGCTTGCCTTGCATGCCTGAGGCCCTGGGTTCGATTCCTCAGCACCACATAAGCAAAAAGAAAAAAGCCAGAAGTGACGCTATGGCTCAAGTGGTAGAGCGCTAGCCTTGAGCTGAAGAGCTGAGGGACGGACAGTGCCCAGGCCCAGAGTTCAGGCCTCACGACCGGACCCAAAAAAAAAAAAAACTTTAAAATGCTTAAATGCCTATCAGTAATAAGCAATGTTTTTTCTTTATCTTTGTGTATCTGGATATACAATGTTTCATGGCAGTATTCTATTTTGCTTTTTTTGCTTAATTGAGCATAAATATTTTGTTACTTTGATCTTAATGATGACTATACTTTTGAAATGGCTAACATACCTTTTTCAAGTTTATGGTTGACATAGTTTGTTTTGTTATGGCTGACATTGTTTTCTATACATTATGTATTCAGTTGGAGGAAATTTCTTCTGTATATTTTATATTTTTTTTAAAGAAGAAAGGATGGTTTTAATTTTTCTTTCTGCTCTTTTTTCTTTTAAAATTTTCAGGACAAGTACTCAAAGAAATGTGGATATTGGAGATTTGACCTGGGAGCAGAAGGAGAAAGTCTTGAGATTGCTGTTTGCAAAAATGAATGGTTTAGCTTCTAGGTAATTTCCTGTTTTTGCAGTGAAATGCCAAGTTGTTATCAAACCTAAAAAACACACAGAAATAATGAATTGATTCTTACTTAGAACAAAAGGAAATACATAAAAGGGAAGAAAATATAAGGGTTTTATTGCTTTTCAGCTGTAAATAAGCATGGAAACAAAAAATGATGTGAAAAAAGAGAAAGATTAATCTTAGATGCTGAGGGTAATGCTGTAAGTTATTAAATGTGCTTCCTACAGGAAACATAACACCTATGAAGGTTTATTCTTCTGCAAAGAAAAATGAATCAAAAGAATCTCTAACATGAGAAAGGGGCAAAGGCAAAGCAGTAATTGACATGTATTCCAAGAAATTCTTTGTTTTTTTTGAACCTGTCCTGGGACTTGAATTTAGAGCCTGGGTGTTGTCCCTGGGCTTTTTTGCTCAAGCTAGCTCAAGTAGTAGTTAACTATAGATCAGACTTCCCTGCTTGGGCTAGCTTTGACCCATAATCCACAGATCTCAGCCTCCTGAGAAGCTAGAATTACAGGTATGGGCTACTGGGACCACCTAGGGCCTCTCATTCTTTTTTTTTTTTATTGTGAAAATACCATGCAGAGGAGTTACAATTACATGGGCAAGGTAATGAGTACATTTCTTACCAAGCATTGTTGCCTCCTCCTTTGTTTGGGGGGGGAGGCAGTTGTGGGGCTCAGCTCTTCAGTTCAAGGCAAGCGCTCTGCCACTTCAGTCACAGAGCCACTTTAGGTTTTCTGGTGGTTTATTGGTTAAGAGTCTCCAGATGTTTTCTGCCCAGACTGGCTTTGAACCTTGATTTTCAGATCTCAGCCTCCTGAGTAGCTAGGATTACAGGCGTGAGCCACTGGTGCCTGGCTTCTTGTTTAGCTTTTTCTCTTAGCAGCTGGCACTTTACCATTTGAGCTACTTCCTGATTTTTGCTGGTTAATTGGAGATGAATCTGTGAGATTTATCTGCCAGGGCTGTCTTTATACTGAGATCTTCAGATTTCAGCCTCCTGAATAGCTAGACTTACAAGGATAAGCCACTGGTGCTTAATTTAGTTCTTATGCTGAAGCCCCTAACTTCTAAATTACACTGGGCCTAAACTCCATTGGGTAACCCTTATGAGTTCTGAGGTTGTTTTTATGGGAATGAAAGTTTTTTGGGTGTTTTAATCAGTACTTTCTTTTAACCTTGCCCTCCACTGTTAATCATTATGAGTACCTTCATTATATTTATCTCTATGCATTTCTTTTCTTGTTGGTAGTACTGGGGTTTGAACTCTTTTTATTTTGTACTTGCTAGACAGGTATTCTACCTACTCCATATTTTCTGTGTCTTGAGTTCAACAATTATATATTAACCTGTCTAATATGGCATATCTATGTTTGTTTAAAAAATCACTTTGAAAATAAGCTCATCTAACAAAAGCATTTCTCTCAACACTATAAAGGGTATAGTTGGAAGACACAACATCTTTATTTTTGTTGACTTATCTGCTACAGGAAATATAACCAGAGTTCTCTGCCTCCAGTTCCAGATACTCATGTTTCTGACAATGGAGAAATGAAAGAATCTGGGTAAGATCTTGAGAACCTGACAATAATGGTGGTTGTAGACATTGACACATGCTAGATTTGACATGGAATACTATGAAAAGTCTTTGTTCTGAACCAAATTCCTATTGGCAGCACTATCATTTTGTCATTACTGCAGGAATGAAAATACACAAGAGCAAACCTTCATTACCCAACAAGTTCCGATATCAAATGCTGGTGAAATGGTGCTACCCCGTATTCCACAAGGACCACAGGTCTCTGACTAAGTAAGGACTCTAATTAATCAAACAACACACATAATTGTTACCCTTCACTAGGCATCTTAGCCAATTTCTCAGTGATTTACTAGCTAGCCAGCAGCTCTGAGGAATTGAGAAGAGTAATAGTACTAACGCAACACCACAGGAACTTTAAAAAATTGTGCATACTCAAGGCTTATTATACATAACATAGATGCATATCTGAACCACTGATGGTATAGAAAACTATAGTGTGAAGGTCTGGGAAGGTGGCTCAGTAGTAGAGCGCTTGCCTTGCATGCCTGAGGCCCTAGGTTCGATTCCTCAGCCCCACATGAGCAAAAAAAAAAAAAAAAGAAAACTATAGTGTGAAGTATAGCTAGCCAAAATATGTATTACATGAACCTAGGGTCTTGTGCATGCCAGGCAGTCACTACCAGTAAGCTAAGCCTCAGTTCTTCTCTTATTTAACATAAACATAATGACCTTATAACTATTGTCTTTAGACATGAGTATAAGTCAAAATAATGTAGAGGTTAGAAAAGATGTAGAAGTTAGGAAAGTACATAAGGAAGTATGATACCATTTTTTAGAAAGCCAAATTCTGTTTTTCTTTTTAAGGACTTTCATTGATAATCATTTAGTACAATGTAGAAAGAGAAAATTCAAATAAGGTCATAGTAGTTCAACAGAGAGATTAAAATCCTTATTTTTTAGTTGCTACCACCATGACTATAACTAGTTTTCTCCATCTAAGAAACAGCCAGGTGCTGGTGGCTCACCTGTAATCCTAGCTATTCAGGTACCTGAGATCTGAGGATTGTAGTTCTAAGCTAGCCCTGGCAGGAAAGTCCGTGAGACTCTTATCTTCAATTAACTGCCAGAAAACAGGAAGTGATTCTGTGGTTCAAAGTGGTAGAGTGCTAGCCTTGAGCAAAATAAAAGCTCAGCGACAGTGCCAGGCCCTGAGTTCAAGCCCTACAACTGACCAAAAAAGAAAAAGAACAAACTTCTGATGAACAAGTAGCTGGCCGAATAAGTTGATTTTGCTTAGTCTTTTTGTGTGTGTGTGTGTGTGTGTGCCAGTCCTGGGACTTAAGTTCAGGGTATAGGTGCTGTCCTTGAACTTTTGTACTGTACTACTTGGAGTACTACTACTTTGTACTCTACTACAGAAGTAGAGCTCTTCTGGCTTTTTGGTGGTTTATTTCTAATAAGAATCTCTTGGGCTTTCCCTGCTTGGGATAGCTTCAAATTGCAATCCTTAGATCTCAACCTCCTGAGTAGCTAGGATTACAGGCACGAGCCACTGGTGCTGGCTTGATTAGTCATCTTTAAAAGAGTGACTTCCCTTAACTGTAAAGAAAATGTTAAGAGTCTTGTGATTGTTTAATTCAACTTGGAATTTAGACAATAACCTTTTATTCAACCCAGACTAAAGTTATTGGATTGGATTAAAAAATAGCTATTTTATGAGCTAAAACAAAGGGCATTGTATTCTCAATTTACCAATTTCTATTGCCACCGTTAGAAAGGGCAGAAGAAAAAAAAACCAACAGGGCTGTGTGGTTTGTTAATTTTTTTTGTGTGCCAGTCTTGGAGCTTGAACTCAGAGCCTGGATGCTGTGTGCATGAGCTTTTTTGCTCAAGGGTAGCACTCTACCATTTGAAACAGCTCCATTTCTGGAGCTGTTTGGTGGGTTAATAGATAAGAATCACAGACTTTCCTCCAGGCTTGGCTTCAAACTGTGATTCTCAGATCTCAGCCTCTTCAGTAGCTAGGATTCTAGGTATGAGCCATCAGTGCCTGGCTTGTTAGTTCTTTTAATTACTGAAGGTCTGACATTCTAGCCAGTACATAGTAATAATAAGCCTTAAGTACAGTCCATTGAGTATACATATATTTTTTAAACAATCTTTACTTAACTCATTGAATTAACCATGTAGAATAGGGTCCAAGTAATTAATGAGGAAGCAGAAAAGTAAATAATCAGTGCCATCTGGCAGAGCAGCAGAGTTCTCTCCATCAGAGCTAATAGGCTTCTAGTTCACAAAGTTAGGATTCATATGGGATGGTGGAGCAAAAAGAATCCCTGCTGTTTAGAACATCAGTTTCTATTCTGAGTTAAAATTTAGATAGAGCAAAGAAACAAAACACTCCAAGGTAGTTGAATTTGTGGTAGCAAAGACTATCAAAAGCTTGTCACTACTTATGTAATGGAAAGCTTTGAAATTTCTTATGTCACTACTTATGGAAAGCTTTGAAATTTCTTAAGTCCTGAAGAGTTATTCTACATAAATTATTCTTTCATTAAAATATTACTAATGAGAAATTCAGGCAGGAGGAAATAATAACATATAAAATTTGGCAAATAATAGCAGGTTAGACTTGCTTAAGGCAAGAGTCTTACCCATTTCACATAGTTAAAGCACTCTTAATTTCTGGATACAAAATAATTTTTGAAACAATTATCCAAGAAGACAATTTGTATGTAAATTAATAGCTGAAGCATCGATTAGTGATTGCTGAAGCAAACTCTGAAAGTTAACATTTGGCACAGCTGATAAAAGGTTGATTTATCCATTGTATACTGAGGTATTCTTGTGAAGTATTTTAAGAAGCAGGAACGAGGACAATGAATGAAATTGTGGTCATAAATCACAAGGACAATGAAGTGACATTGAGCAAAAGAGAAATAGCCATCATATTGGATAAGTAGAAATGGTTTACATCTGTGTAGTACAGGATGAGTGAAAAGCAGAGGGGTTGTGCCCACTGCTATTGATGAAGGGCTGTATTTGAGGCACAATTAGAGAGTAACTGTTTATGTCTTATTTCCCCATGCAAGGGTTCTTTTTCCACTTGTTGAAATATTTTCTGCATATAGAGTGACCTCTCCCTCCTTCAAAAAGGAGAAATTGTAGAAAACAGGATTAAGTTGTCCTTCCAGATAAGCATTTCACAGTTACAATGGATACCCCCGAAAAAAGTATGAAGAACAAGTGAAAACTTGGGTGTCATCATTACACCAACATTCTCCCTATAGCAACTTTGAATGGATGGAGCATCTTGAGAGAATTTAGTCGTATCCAATTCTAGGAAGTTTTTTTTTTAGCAAAGATGGCAAATAAAGTTGGTCAAGAATGAAGATTACTTAGGATCAAGTCTTGAAGAAACTTGTTTCTAATGGCCCATGGTAGGCATGACTACAGCAGGTGAGGAAAGAGTAGCATCCTCTTCTTTCCACTGAGAAGTGATGGTCTTTAGCTGAGTATAGAACTGGATACCCTAAGAAAGCAAAGAGTTAGCATATACTTTAGGATGTTCATGACTCATTTTTTTTTCCTTGTCGGTCGTGGGACTTGAATACGGGCCTAGGTGCTGTCCCTTAGCTCTTCAGCTCAAGGCGAGCGCTCTACCACTTAAGCCACAGTGCTACTTCCAGTTTTCTAGTGGTTTTTATTGGAGATAAGAGCCTCACTGAGGGCTGGGAAAGTGGCTCAGTGATATAGTGCTTGCCTTGCATGCATGAGGCCCTGGGTTCAATCCCTCAGCAGCACATAAGCAGGAAAAGCCAGAAGTGGTGCTGTGGCTCAAGTGGTAGAGCACTAGCCATGAGTTGAAAAGCTGAGGGACAGTGCCCAGGCCCAGAGTTCAGGCCCCATGACTGACCAAAAAAAAAAATAGTACATTTCTTTGGGGCTGGGAAGGTGGCTCAGTGGTAGAGCGCTTGCCTTGCATGCCTGAGGCCCTGGGTTCGATTCCTCAGCACCACATAAGCAAAAAGAAAAAAGCTGGAAGTGGTGCTGTGGCTTAAGTGGTAGAGCGCTAGCCTTGAGCTGAAGAGCTGAGGGACAGCGCCCAGGCCCAGAGTTCAGGCCCCACGACTGGACCCAAAAAAAAAAAAAAAGACTTTATATATAAACACATGTATGAGGTCCTGGATTCAATCCTGTAACACTGTAAAAGAGATATATTTATGTATACACCACATACATGTATAATTTATGAGAATAAGCTTGATATTAAGTGTGGTTGTTCATGCCTATAATCTTAGCATTGGGAGATGGAAGCCGGAAGATCGCATGTTCTAGGCCAGCTTGGGCTATAGCAAGATCTTGTCTCAGAAAAAATACCATTAACAACAACAAAAATCTTTAATCTTTTAATGTTTTACTTCTCTGTTTTTTTTTTTTGGTGAGGGGGTGGGGCAGGTTTGACACAAAGTCTTAACATGTTGCTTACAGCATTTCTCTGCCTCATATACCCAAATAATTGGTTCTGCAGGTAAAGCCCATCACATTGGACTGCTTAGGAAAAAACTTTTTCTTTTTTTTTTTGTTAGTCAAGGGGTTTGAACTCTCGGTCTGGACACTGTCCCTCTGCTCTTCAGTTCAAGGCAAGCACTCTACCACTTGAGTCATAGCATCACTTCCAGTTTTCTGGAATTGGCAATAAGAGAGATTGGAGATAAGAGCCTCATAGACTTTCCTGCCCAGGCTGGCTTTGAACTGTGACCTTCAGATCTCAGCCTTCTGAGTAGCTAGGATTATAAGCGTGAGCCACCGGCACCAGGCTAGGAAAGATTTTTGTTCTCTTTTTTTTTTTGTTTTGTTTGTTTTTGTTTTTTGTCGGTCATGGGGCTTGAACTCTGGGCCTGGGCACTGCCCCTCAGCTCTTCAGCTCAAGGTGAGCGCTCTCCACTTGGGCTATAGAGTCCTTCTGGTTTTCTGGTGGTTTATTTGAGATAGGAGTCTCACAGTCTTTCCTGCCCGGGCTGGCTTTGAACCATGATCCTCAGATCTCAGCCTCCTGAGTAGCTAGGATTACAGGCGTGAGCCGCCAGTGCCCGGATGTTTTTGTGTTTTGTTTTTTTTTTTTTGCCAGTCCCAAGCTTGAATTCATGGCCTCTGAACTGTCCCTGAGCTTCTTTTGCTCAAGGGCCACAGGGCCACCTCTGGCTTTTTCTGTTTATGTAATACTGAGGAATCAAACTTAGTGCTTCATGAATGCTAAGCAAGCACTCTACCACTAAGCCACATTCCCAGCCCTAGGAAATACTTTTAAGTAATAGTTTTACTGTTTTGTTTTTTTTTTAAGAAATGCTTGTTACCAGTATCAAATTACAGGTCATCTGTGATTTACTAATTTTCCTTTTTTATGAGGTAGTGTCTCACTGTGTAGTCTCATCTGTCCTCATTTCCTTTTCAGTTAGGACTGTGATGTAGGCCATTATTGCTGCTTAATATGCCATGCTGTTCCTGCTTCATTATATGTGTACCTGCTGAGGGATATGATAACAGTGATAATTCAGTCTTTATAACCTTATGAAATATATTCAAATTTTATAGCTGAAGAAACTTGAGGCATAAAGGAGGGTTTTCTTACCAGCTAATAACTGGTAGGGCTAGAATTTGAACCTAGAGACACTGATTCCAGATTTGCTTTATTTTCTTATTCAGTGTTTGGTAACAGAGATGCTCAATTAAAAAAAAAATATTTTTTTTGGTATTAGGTATTGAACCAGGGCCTTGAGCATTCTAGACAGGCATTCTACCTTATTAAGCTACAACCTTGGCACTCAAACTGTCACAGGAGAAACATGTGCCATGAAGAGTACATGCGCCATATCACCCAGCACTGAGGAAGGGTGGTAGTGGTCAGAGGTTAATTTTCTGAAGGGAAGAGGGTCATAAGCAGAGGGAATACAGACTTGGGGTTTTTCAGGCTTTTTACCTAAACTTTGTTGCCTTATTCAGGAAACTATAACTTAGTGAAACTTTGTTATCTTTTAAATCTTTTCTAGGGGACTTTTTGAAAACACTACAGAACAACATATGACCCCAGATAGGCTGCTTGCAGATCCTTCTTTGCAGAATCCTAGCTTCTGAATAAGTTCAAGAAGAAAGTTTCTTAAAGAAAAAAAAAAAAATTACCTGTTTGCCATAGAAATTGGTGTCTCCCCTGAAGGAAGATCGAGAGCCCGTGAATGAGAACATTGGCAAAGGCACTGGAATGGGAACATTCACTCCCACCTAAGAAGAACAAACCCATGCACTACTCAGCAAAGGACTCACACTCCATTTAGAAGCTCAAAGACAATACAGAGACCAGTTTTAAAGTTCATTCTGTTTGAAAAAGACTTGTTTTAAATAGCCATCTTGCACCCTGTCCTCCACCCCATGGGCTTTATTCCTGAGGAAGAAATACAGCATTGTGGGAGATTAAAGAGGCAGTTTTTGAGCAAACTGCAGTGGCCACTGTTTGGTGTTTACTATCTTAGGAAAGCGCTACAAGAAAACTCCAAAAATTATATTCACAAACCTGTCCAACATCTACCAGGTGGGAATATTTCCGAGCAGTGGCTCCATTGGTGGTGAAGATGGCAGTTCCATTTCCATATGGGTTATCATTTACGATCTTGATGGCTTCATCTAGTGTTTCTGTCTCTAGTACCACAAGAACTGGACCAAAAATCTCTTCTTTATAACATGTCATGTTTGGCTGTCAGGAGTGATGTATCGAGGAAAGAAGTCAGCTTTTTGAGTTGAGTATTTTATGGTTATATTTAGCATTTTTATTGCCCACTATTTACATGGGCAGTTTTCGTGTTAGCCGTCTCTTCATCTTAAGCATTTTATGGGGAAAAAAAAAGTCGTTCTCTATCCTCTGGGCTAAAAACATATAAACAACTTGAAATTCCTATTAACTGTAACTACACTTTTTTTTGAGCACTATGTTTTTAAGTTCCCATGATCATCTACTAGCTTCTTTCTTACATCTACTTGCTTCTTTCTTAATAGTTATACAACTGGTTTCACATAGTTACCAAAAAAAAAAAAAATCACAAAAAATTTATTTTTCATAAATCAAATATGAAGTACATTTGAAGAATTTTTCCAGGTTTAGAAACTACACTCAGTTCTCTGTACCATAAGCCAATCAACTTCCATTCAGTTCTTTGCCTCCCAAATAAGTCTATTAAGTTTCTGTTTTGATACAGATTCATCAACATTCCAAAAATTCTTTAGCATTGTACCTAGTCACTTTTGTTTGTTGCTGATAAGTGGATTTTTCTTTTATCGTTCGGTGGCAAGAGATTTCCTAACTTCTGTACTTGTATTCAATCTTTGATTATTCAGTATTATAGTGAAGATATGTATCATTTAAGGATAAAAAGCCACTTAACCTCAATTTAGCATGACAAATCACCTCTTTTTTTGGTTCCTTTCTGGTGAGATGCAACTAAACTTTAGGTAGATATTCAGTAAATCTTGTGATATACTGAGCCACTGCAAGGCTCAATTTATGAGTTCAATTTATATGACCAAGGCAGGAGGGTGATAAACAGTAATTATAGAGGAAACGAGGTGACAAACTGCAGTGGACTACTGTGGCTGTTACCTGTTTTTGCTACAAATTCAGAACAGTTTATACTTTTTTAAGGTGTTGGGAAAAAGATCATTTCGTGACATGTAAAACTTACATGGAAAATTCATGTAAATTCATAAAGTTATTGAAACACACGTAGTGTTTATGGCTGATTCTATACTGTATACCATAGTTGTGGACTTGTGATAGATATTATAGAAAACTGTAAGTCAGGAGGGGAGACTTTGATTCTAGGTAGAACAACTCAGCAACCTTGGCAAGAGTTGAGGTCTTTTCATTAAAAGTCTTCATGTATGATTTACAGAGATGAGAGTCCATAACGCCTAAAGTGACTTAAGTTCTCCTGGTTATGAAATTATTTACCTTGACATTTGAGATGATGGTTGGTCCAACAAAATTACCATTCTCATAGCCTTTGACTTTAATTTTTCGCCCATCTAAAAGGATAGAAGCTCCCTCCTTCGTTCCACTATCAATTAGATTGCAGACTCGTTCTTTGGCCTGTGGAGTGATCAGTGGGCCAAGATCAGCTCCAGGCTGGTCTCCTGTAAAACAATATACAAGTATGTAAGGTGTTTATTAACATAAATTATAGCTATTAAGCCATGGCTATGAATTGACACATACAGTTAGAGATGAAATTGGCAAACACCACTGCTAAAATCAAGGTTAGACGCAGAATCTCAAGTTGCTGAGCAGATGACTGATTTACCTGCATTGACTCTTAGTTTTTTGGCCCGTTCCACTAGCTCTGGCAGCCACTTCTTAGCTTCTCCCACAAGAATTGCTGTTGAAAGAGCCATGCAGCGCTGACCAGCAGCTCCAAATGCTGCCCCAACAAGCTGGTTTAGGGTATTTTCTTTATTGGCATCTGGCATAATTACCCCATGATTTTTGGCTCCCTAAAGAAATAGAGAAAGTGCATGGGTCTTCCTTAGCCAAATACTATTAAACTAAGAAATTAAAAGAATCTGAGATCTCAAATAAGAATTTAAAGAAAGGACTAAAGCATTCAACCTTTGAGGACGAAATTATTTTTACTGTTGCTGAAGTCAGCAACATAGAACAGATCCCTATATTACTTTTTGCTTTCTACTTGATAAGCTGATAGATGTTACTTAGATCGAAAAAGGAAGACAATCACAGCCCAACAGACAGGTTACAAGTACTGCATCCAAGAACCAGAAAAACTCTCTTTTTTCTCAAGTTAGATATTTTCTACTAGGGTTTCCTGTCAAATGAAGAACAATAAAAACAAAGAGCTGCCAATAATAATGTCAGTAGCTGGCTGAGAGAAAATAAGAGACCTTTCTGATATGTAACATGGAGTTTGGGTGCAAAGCTGCATTTGTATCTTTTCTGTGTAGGATAAGATGATCTCTTCCACAGATAAATTCCTACACATGACTATAAGTGACGGCATGAACAGATACCATGACTGCTAGTTAGTTTAATCTTGTTGGGAACATTTGGCTTTTTCTAGTGTCTTAAATAGACTGGTCTCTCAAAGGTATCTGTACATTGACATTAATAGTTAGGATTCATATTAAAAGCAGGATTAACAACTAGAAAAACTGTATAAATGAAGAAAAGGCACAGTAACAGAATTTGGTTATTACTACTCAAGCCCAATGAATCTAAATAACTCCTGAGGAGGAATGTGCCCCCCCCCTTTTTTAAACCAAGATAAGTATGCTAAAAGTTGATTAACATAACAGAATAAAACTCAATTTCAGGGCTAATGAGAAGGTATTTAGGATGAAGTGGTAATTAAGAAACACTGGCTTTAGTGAGATGCTGAAGGGCTGTTCCTTGATAATTTAAACACCTGTAACAAAGGAGGAAAAAGAAATTTAAAAATCACCATATTAGCTTGAACCCTCTTGCCGTGTCTTGACCCTCTTTCGAAAATGTACTCTCCTGCCTGGTTGGATCCCACAAAGCTGATTGCTTTGATATCCGGATGATCACAAATAAAATTGACAGCTTTAAGAAGAGAATAAATAATTACCAAAAGAACAGCTGGCAATAATCTCCTCAACCTGGCAATGGTTTTTCCAGTGCTATGAATTGGAAATTTTCACATATCTCTGTCTACACTGAATTTCCATTGCAAAGGTCTCATTTATTTCTCTTAGCTTTTTAAAATTACAAATCCTATTAAGCCTCGTCACACTGTTTATTTTCTATTTCAGAATTTCCACTTACAGTCTAAATGCTATCATTCCTATTTCCCTGTAAGATAACAGCCTTTCAAAACTGGACCCATTTTGTCATTTAAGAAATGTATGAGGGCTGGGAAGGTGGCTCAGTGGTATGAGGCCCTGGGTTCAATTCCTCAGCACCACATAAGCAAAAAGAAAAAAGCCGTAAGTGGTGCTGTGGCTCAAGTGGTAGAGCGCTAGCCTTGACATGAAGAGCTGAGGGACAGGGCCCAGGCCCAGAGTTCAGGCCCATGACCGGACCCCCTCCCCCCCCCCCCCAAAAAAAAGAATGTATGAGCTGAGTGCTAGTAGCTCATGCCTGTGATCTTAGCTACTCAGGAGGCTGAGATCGGAGGATCAAGGTTCAAAGCCAGTGTGGGCAAGAAAGTCCGTGAGATTTTATCTCCAATTTACCACCAGAAAACCGGAAGTGGTGCTGTGCCTCAAGTGGTAGAGCGCTCGCCTTGAGCTGAAGAGTTCAGGGACAGCACCCAAGCCCAGAGTTCAAGACCCACGACCAAAAAAAAAAACTCAATTGTCACACTAAGCCTCTCAGTGTATTATATGTGTGTAACTGAGTCTTTTAGTGTATTGATGGGTGATATAGCATACTATTTAAAAGCAAGAACCAGAGTCAGCTCTCCTGGTTACACATATCCTAACTGTTGTGGTTTCTAGTAGTATGACTTAGGGCAAAATAGGATTTTGTTCTGACTTTCTAATCTGTAAGATGGAAAAACAGTACCAGCTTCAAAGGGTTCCTGTAAAGATGCAATGAGGTGACCAACTTTCTCTTTAATCTCCTCTCTGTATACAGATAGCAAACAATCATAACCTCCAAATACAGAGGTTCCTTCTTTTTCCCCTTTTTTGTCAGTCCTGGGGCTTGAGCTCCAGGCGTGGGCACTGTCCCTGAGCTTCTACTTGCTCAAGGCTAGCACTCTACCACTTGAACCATAGTGCCACTTCTGGCTTTTTCTGTTTATGAGGAATCAAACCCAGGGCTTCATGCATGCCAGGCAAGCATTCTACCACTGAGCCACATTCCTAGCCCCATGTATGTTCCCATGGGGAATTCCTTTCCTTCCAACTTCCTTATCTTAGAATACCCAATCACCATTTAATATGTTGACTTTTGTGGGGAGCCAGATTAAGTAGCCACATATAGAAGGGTAGTTACCTTCATGCTGTCCATGGATGATGTTCAGTGTTCCATCAGGGGCACCAGAGTCTTGAAGCAACTTAGCAAGAAGCATGGTTGCTCCAGGGACTCGCTCTGATGGTTTCATCAGGAAAGTATTCCCACAAACCATGGCCATGGGAAACATCCACAAGGGGATCATGGCAGGAAAATTAAATGGAGCGATGCCTGCACACACCCCTAGAGGTAGGCGGTAGGAATAAAGGTCCATGTCCTTGGTGATGGATGGCATAGTCTCTCCCAGCATGAGGGATGTCACACTACAGGCGTGCTCAACCACCTCTGGAACAGAGAAGAAGTCAGGCACTGGATGTCCATACTGAGCACTAGTTAGCATTCTAATTCAGCTCTGAGAAAATGTTGCTCAGGCCAATGACAGGAGAGAAACACTAATTTAGCTTTCTATACAGAGATTATCCAAATTGAAATTCCCTGGGGAAAACATCACAGAATAGCAAAATCTATATAAGGAAATAAGCAATCTTCCCATTCTGGGACCTTTGCCTCCCATTTTCTTTTTTTTTTTTTTTTTTTTGGGTCCGGTTATAGGGCCTGAACTCTGGGCCTGGGCGCTGTCCCTCAGCTCTTCAACTCAAGGCTAGTGCTCTACCACTTGAGCCACGGCGCCACTTCCGCCTTTTTTTTCTTTTTGCTTATATGGTGCTGAGGAATCGAACCCAGGGCCTCATGCATGCAAGGGAAGCGCTCTACCACTGAGCCACCTTCCCAGCCCTGCCTCCCATTTTCTTTGCTCTTCCCCCGAAAGTCCCAAGAGTGACTCCCAGCTTACGAAGGCCTCGAAATACATCTCCTTCAGCATCAGCTAGGGTCTTTCCTTGTTCCAATGTGATTAATCTGGCAATTTCTTTCTACAGAGAAAATACACAAATGGAAATGAATGCAAGGATGATCTGTTTTGGGGTTGGGGGGTAGGGGAAGTGCTAGGGATTGAACCTAGGAGTCCTATGCATGCTAAGCATACACTATACCACGGAGCTGTATCCACCCATTAGGTTCCTTTTAATTCTCAAGTGGCCAAGGAAGAGCAAAACAGAACTAGAATAATAAAAGAGTTATGATTAATGTCTTTAAGGTAAAGAGTTGGGAAGGGTACTTGAAAAGCTTTCTGGAAAATAAACAAGCACTCTGTGGGCACTCTATAGGGTGAAATACACTCTTCAGATTTCTTACCAAGTTTTCTTTAATAAGTTGTTGATAGCGGAGAAAGATCTGCTGACGGCTTAATATTGATGTGTCTGCCCATGTGGGAAAAGAACACTTGCAGGCAGCAACAGCTGCATCCATTTCAGCCTTGGTGGACTGAGGAACGCGACCAATGACCTCATTGGTGGCCTAATGGGGAAAAGAGAATGTCACACTTTGCCAGCGACTCACCTTCTCCACGTTTCATCTTTTCTCTGGCAACACTGTTTCATGACAACAAATACCTAGGTTCCCATCTTCCTACCATATTCCCAGAATTCTAGGCTAGTTGGTATAAGTCCTAAAGCAACTTTGCTTACTGGGTTGTGAATGTCAATCCATTTGTCACTTCTGGATTCAACAAATTTCCCATCAATGAAGAGTTTTACAGTTGGCTGGAAAACAAAATAATAAAAACACAAGAACTTTGTATTATTTGTTTTGCTTCTCCCTTTCCCATTCACAAAGAAATTTAGACGGATGACTAAATCTTGTGGTCTCTATCATTAGGAAGGAGATACATATACTAAGGCACTTTTTATTAGCTTACATTAGTTATACAGAGGATTTAATTGTTACATTTCCACATATTTTACAATATAGTCTAATTAATCTCATTATTTGAGGGGGGTGCACTGGGGTTTGAACTGAGGGCTGTGTACTTGCTAGGCAGGCATTCTACCACTGAGCCATATCTCCATCCAGAAACATTCAATATTCTTTTTTTTTTTGGCGCGAGGGGTATGGGGGAGGTCTGGTCGTGGGGCCTGAACTCTGGGCCTGGGCGCTGTCCCTCAGCTCTTCAGCTCAAGGCTAGCGCTCTACCACTTGAGCCACAGCACCACTTCTGGCTTTTTTCTTTTTGCTTATGTGGTGCTGAGGAATCAAACTCAGGGCCTCAGGCATGCAAGGCAAGCGCTCTACCACTGAGCCACCTTCCCAGCGCCACATCACATTCAATATTCTTGTCTACAGTGAATATGATGATGGAGTACAACCTCCTAATACTATGGTCTCTCTGAGAATGGGAAATTTTCTGCTATTCCTCCAGTGAACTTTATGAGAGAACATATCATGAAGAAGCTTATACTAAGATTACAGCCATTCTGTTTTCAAAGACTAGCTATTGTGACTTATTGGTCTGCTGACTTCCTTACATGCTATACACAAGTCTTTATGATCTAAAAGTTAAGAAAATATTTTCTAACTATGCCTTTTTATTTGTCAGTTGTGGGGCCTGAACTCTGGACTGGGCACTGTCCCTCAGCTCTTCAGCTCAAGGCTAGCACTCTACCACTTGAATCAAAGCACCACTTCCAGCTTTTTTTGTTTATGTGGTGCAGAGGAATTGAACCTGGGCCTTTTATGTGAGGCAAGCGCTCTACCATTGAGCCATCTTCCCAGCCCCTAACTATGCCTTTTTTGAGAAGCAGCTTGTATTCACTACATTATCAATGAGGTGTGGTGCTTTCTTTTATTATAACAAGTACATGAGAGTAGAAAGGAAAGAAGCTTATCCCGGAGTTCTAGAAGCTAAAAGTCTAAAATCCAGCAACCATGACTAGGACACCTCAGAAAGGCAGGGAAAATGGTTATAGGAGTCATTTTATCTCACCTTAAAGGTGCCACATTCTAATGCCACACAATGGTAATCACATTTCAATATTTTGGCACTGTGGCTCAAGTGGTAGAGCGCTAGCCTTGAGCTGAAGAGCTGAGGGACAGCGCCCAGGCCCAGAGTTCAGGTCCCACAACCAGACCCCACCCCCCAAAAAAAAGTATGAGACCTTGAGTACAAGTCCCAGTACTGGTAATAATTATTTAAATAAATGACTAGCAACCATGAGGTCCTAGATTCAAAATCACAATACTGTCATAAAAAAATACCCAAATCTATACTAGATTCCTTCTTGAAAGTCAATCTTCAGTGCCCAATTCACTTACCACTGAAGATGAAGAGAAGGAAGATACTGGATACCAGGTGGGGCTTGCTTTGGAAGCAAGCTGTAAAATAAGAATTTCATAAATGAGAGCAGAAAATGATTTAGCTAATAGCTACTAAGATGCTCAACATTATATAACTACAGTACAGATATGAAAAAGGACTTGGTGCTTGCACTCAAAGGTAATTTAGTCTTAAAAAAAAAAACACATGAGGGCTGGGAAGGTGGCTCAGTGGTAGAGCACTTGCCTTGCATGCCTGAGGCCCTGGGCTGGATTCCTCAGCACCACATAAGCAAAAAGAAAAAAAGCCGGAAGTAGCGCTGTGGCTCAAGTGGTAGAGCGCTAGCCTTGAGCTGAAGAGCTGAGGGACCGCGCCCAGGTCCAGAGTTCAGGCTCCATGATCGGACCCAAAAAAAACCAAAAGCAAAAACCAAAAACAACAACAACAAAAAACACATGAGGGCTGGGAATGTGGCTCAGTGGTAGAGTGCTTGCCTTGCATGCATGAGGCCCTGGGTTCAATTCCTCAGTACCACATAAGCGGAAAAAGCCAGAAGTGGTGCTGTGGCTCAAGTGGTAGAGCACTAGCCTTGAGCTGAAGAGCTGAGGGACAGCGCCCAGACCCAGAGTTCAGGCCCACGACCAGCAAAAAACAAAAACAAACAAACAAAAAAAACACATGAGGGTTGGGAAGGTGGCTCAGTGGTTGAGCTCTTGCCTTGCATGCTTGGAGCCTGATTCCTCAGAACCACACAAGCAGAAAAAAAAAAAAAAAAAAGCCGGAAGTGGCTCAAGTGGTAGAGTGCTAGCTTTGATCTGAAGAGCTGAAGGACAGCATCCTGGCCCAGAGTTCAGGCCCCACGACCAGACCAAAAAACAAACAAACAAAAAAAAAAAAACACACATGAGGGGCTGGGAAGGTGGCTCTGTGGTAGAGTGCTTGCCTTGCATGCATGAGGCCCTGGGTTCGATTCCTCACCACCATATAAGCAGAAAAAGCCAGAAGTGATGCTGGGGCTCAAGTGGTAGAGAGCTAGCCTTGATCTGAAGAGCTGAGGGACAGCACCCAGGCCCAGAGTTCAGGCCCCATGACCACTACCACCACCACCAACAACAAAAACGCATAAAACTAGGACACAGGGGAAACTATAAAAAAGAACAATAATGTGATCATGCTCTGAACTTCCACAACAGAGTGGTGTCAAATATTTTGGGGGATCATTATATTTTCCTCATTTTGGCCTGGAAAATGCAGTCACCAAGAATCTAACAATATGAAAATATCGTTGAAGTATGAAGGTGTTGAAGACAATACACAATAAACACAAATATAATAAACTATAAATAATAGTCAATGTAAGCATAAACTAGTACATATAAAATATAAGAATTATATATATGTCAATAAAATACTTAAAACAGCTGAATGTCAGTGGCTCACGCTTGTAATCCTAGCTTCTCAGGAGACTGGTATCTGAGGATTGTGGTTTAAAGCAAGCCCAGGGAGCAAAATCCATGAGACTAATATCTCTAATTAGCCACCCAAAAAAGCCAGTAGTGAAACTGTGGCTAGAGTGGTAGAGTGCTAGACTTGAAGGGGAAAAGAAAAAGTTCAGAGACAGCACCAGGTCCTGAGTTCAAGCTCCAGGATTCACACACATGAACAAAAACTACTTAATGTTAGGGAAAAGAGCAAGTGTATGAAAGGAGAGAAAGAAGAAAGATCAGAACAGGTTTAAACCATTGCTGCAGAGGGACTCCAACTCTAAGCAGGGTCAGAGAAACAAGGAGCAGGGAAGGAAAGATTGTTCAAGGAAACATGTTGAATTGAGTTAGTGTTGAATGGAGCAGATAGTCACATTATGAAGAATGCCTAGGTCAAAAGGCCATACTGTCAGCTATTGTGGCTGAAAAGAATGGTTTAAATTTACAGGAGTACGGATGAGGACTTTGCCAAGAACCCAGATCAGAGTTTTTTAGATGATAAGTCCTGGAGAATGGGAGGGAACTCAGTGGACCTTGAAAGCAACATTGGGTTATAAAAAACAATGCAGAGTCCTATCACAATACAAATGTTCATAGCAGTTTTAGTCACAATAACCCAAAATTTGGAAATGATCCAAATGTCAGCCACTCTATAAATGTTATTTTTGTTATTGTTGGTGGTGGTCTTGGGGCTTGAATTCAGGGCCTGAGAGCTGTCCCTGAACTCTTGCTCAAGGCTAGCACTTTGAGCCACAGTTCCACTCATGGTTTTCTGGTGGTTAATTGGTGATAAAAGTCTCATAACTGGGCTAGGAAGGTGGCTCAATGGTAGAGTGCTTGCCTTGCATGCATGAGGCTCTGCGTTTGATTCCTCAGCACCACATAAGCAGAAATAGCTGGAAGTGGTGCTGGGGCTCAAGTGGTAGAGTGCTAGCTTTAAGCTGAAGAGCTGAGGGACAGCGCCCAGGCCCAGAGTTCAGACCCCACAACTGACAAAACAAAACAAAACAAAACAATCTCTTAACTTTCTGCCCAGGTTGACTTGGAACCATGATCCTCAGATTTCAGTCTCCAGAGCACCTGGGTCTTTTAAAAAGATAATACTAGCTGGACGCTGGTGGCTCAGGCCTGTAATTCTAGCTACTCAGGAGGCTGAGATCTGAGGATCCCATTTCAAAGCCAGGCAAGGCAGGAAAGTCAGTGAGACTCTTATCTCCAATAAACCACTAGAAAACCAGAAGTGTCGGTAGAGCGCTAGCTTTGAGCTGAAGAGCGCAGGGACAGCGCCCAAGCCCAGAGTTCAAACCCCACGACTGACCAAAAAAAAAAAAAAAAAAAGCACTAGTCAGATCACTCCCTTGTTCAAAAGCTTTCTGTGAACCTGTGGATGTATGTAGCTCAGTGGCAGAGTATTTTTCTAGTAAATGCAAGGCCCTAGGTTTCATTCCTGACAATGGAAAATACAACACAGCAAAATAAAAGTACACACATTTACACAAAACAATCCAATGGCTTTCTACTACCTTGAGATAAAGATTAATCAGCTTGATGTTACTACATGGTAGCCTTGCTTTTCTAGATTCGTAGTTTGCTACTTTTTTCCTTGCTCTCTACTTCAACCATTCTGAACATGTTTTGTGCTCTTGCCTTTGCCCCTGTTAATCCCTCTTGCCTGGCACTGATCACATTTGCTCAGCTACTCCTACTCCTTTGCATTGCCAATCTTAAACTCAAGACTTACTCTAGAAGTCTCAAAATCAGGACCAAGTATTTGCCTGGAGAGTCCATAAAGCGGCAGAATTCCTGTTTCTCATTTCACATTATATAATGATAGTTTAATTATTAAGTATCTCTCCCCTTAAATCACTAGACCATGTGTCCTCCACCCCCATCATGGTTCCTGGCATAAAGTAAGCCCTCATTAATATTTTGCAGAGTAACAGAATGAATACCCACCAAGCAATAATTTGTTACTAACATTGTGTTCTCTCTCTCTCTTTCTCTCTCTCTCTCACTCGCTCACTCTCTTGTCATTTACAGGCTTGAATTCATGGCCTGGGTGCTCTACCACCTGAGCCACAGCTCCACTTCTGGGTTTCTGGTAGTTAAATGGAGATGAGTCTCATGGACTTTCCTTCCCAGGCTGGTTTTGAACTATGATCCTCAGATCTCAACCTTCTAGGATTACAAGTTGAGCCAGTGCACAACTGTGTGTTCTCTCGTCTAGGATAGAAAATGTGGGCTGGGAAGGTGGCTCAGTGGTAGAGTACTTGCCTTGCATGCATGAGGCCCTGGGTTCGATTCCTCAGTACCACATAAGCAGAAAAAGCCGGAAGTGGCACTGTGGCTCAAGTGGTAGAGAGCTAGCCTTGAGCTGAAGAGCTGAGGGACAGCGCCCAGGCCCAGAGTTCAGACCCCATGACCAACAAAAAAAGAAAAGAAAAAGGATAGAAAATGTACTCATCAACCAACATGAGCATTAAAGGCCTCTTAAGCTTCTTGTTGGTGGTTATAGAGCTTGAGCTCAGGGCTTGAGTGCTGTCCCTAGACCTGTTTTACAGAAAGCTAGTACTCTACCACTTTGAGCCACAGCTCTACTTCTGGTTTTGTTGTTGTTGTTGTTTTGTTTTTTGGTTAATTGGAGATAAAAGTCTCACAGACTTTCTTGTCAGGGCTGGCTTCAAACCATGATCTTCAATCTCAGCCTCCTGACTAGCTAGGATCACAGGTATGAGCCACTGGCACCTGGCTTCCACTTACACCTTGTATATTCACATACACGAATACCCACTGCTGTCAAGAGGGTAAAATAGGCAGTGTATCAGGTGTAACAGAGCAGTATCATAAATTTTTGCTGGGTTACAACTCAAAATTTCACTTCCTGCAAAATACTCCTTAGCATTGTTGCTGAAGAAAGTTTCCTGATTTCTATTCTCATATTTATTTCCTACCTGCTATTTCCTTTGGTAGGAACTCCTTTCTCCTCTTAGCTAATGACCTGCTAGTCTTGAAACACTTCCAGAGTCAACCCTTTATAGAAGCTTTTCTTAAATTGTATAGGTTGAGTTTGGGGCTCTTTCTCTATGTCACAGAGTCTTCTATCATTATATGACAACACAGGAGCTTTCACTACAAGCCTAGGATGGGATCTGTACATGAAGAGATGCCAAAATGTTAAGTCCTGAATTCTAGGCTGAGTTTCTACTTGGGTGATTACAGGTAACTTAAGTATCAAGTCATTTACTTTATTACAATTTTAAAATTCTAATCTTCATGAACATTCGTAAGGCTAGGAAGTGTAAGAGTTGGATTAGAATTCAGGTATGACTATGCTACCTGCTCTTTGTACCACATCAATGAGTAAAGTTTTGGGTTTTTTTTTTGCAGTATTTTGGATTGAACTCAGGGGTTCTACCACTTGAGTAGCTCTCCCATCTCCTTTCTGCATTGGTTGGTTTTGAGGTAGCGTCTTGACTTACTCCTGAGCCAGACTGTGCTTCAATCCTACTTGTGTTTCTCCCTCTTGTGCTGAATGACAGGTGCACATCACAACACTGAACCACTGTGCTTCCACCAGAGCTACAGTAATAGGCATGTGCCACTGTACCCAGCCACTGGTTGAGATGGAGTCTTAGAAACGTTTATGCCAAAACTGGCTTCAATCTCTTTTTTTTTTCTTGCCAGTCCTAGGGCTTGAGCTCAGAGCCTAGGCAGCACTGTCCCTAAGATACTTTTTGCTCAAGGATAGCAATCTACCATTTAAGCTATAGCACCATTTCTGTTTAATCTAGTACTGAGGAATGGACCCCAAGGCTTCATGCATGCTAGGCAAGCACTCCACCACTAAGCCATATTCCCAACCCTTGGCTTCAATCTGAAATCCCTGATCTCTGCTTCCCAAGTAGCTAAGATTATACACTTGAGCCAGTGCTACAAGGCTACTGACTTTTTTTTTTGTCCAGTACCAGGCCTTGTTCATGCATGAGGCCCTGGGTTCAATTTGTCAGTACCACATAAACAAAGAATTAATTAAAAAATAAACTAATACTGGTTTATAGTTACAAAAAAGATGGAATATGAAGGATTGAGTCTTGCCTTATTCCCCAGGGCCAAGCAAGCACCAGGTGGGTGCTCATGTGCTGGTCCATAGGCAGGTCATTCTGACCTTGGCCCTCAGGAGACAACAGCCTCCACACCCCAGCATTCCACTGTGGGCCTGGCCAAGGACATTGCCCTTGGTTCCCAGGAGACCATAGCCCATTTTTTTTATTTTCTGCTTCCCTGTTAAACCCTATATAAGCCCACCCCAAAGTCCAGCTGCTTGCACAACCTCCAAACCCACAGGAAGGACTGTGCCCCTTGTTGTTCCTAGCCTTGTAGTCCTAGCCTGTTGACAATCGAAGTCTGGTCTATTGCTTTTCCCTTCTCCTCCATTTCTTCAACAACCACAAGGAGCAAAAAGAGACTGTAGGTTAAGTTCTACCAGCCTCCATAACAGAGAAGCTAAGCTGAATATCTAAAAGAAATATAAACAGGAACTGCAACCTATTTAAATCTTTTAGACCTCTAATATTCATGGTTGCCAGTTTAGACTCTGTGTGTGTGTGTGTGTGTGTGTGTGTGTGTGTGTGTGTGTGTTGTGTTTCTGCTACCCAGGTTGGTCTTGAATTCCTGGCCTCAAGTGATTTTTTTGGATTCAGCTTTCCCAGGAGCAGGGATACAAGTGTCAACAAGCCTGTTTACGCTATTTGTTATCAGTTTCACAATACACTAACGTAAGTAGAAGAGATTCTCCACCTTGATTCAGAAGATAAAATACCTGCTTAAAGATTCGCTATAATGGGGGTAGAGGCAAAGAAAAAAATAGTCAATTTCAGGCTTGACACTGGTGGCTCATGCCTGTAATTCTAGCTACTCATGAGGCTGAGATCTGAGAATTTTGGTTCAAAGCCAGCCCTGGCAGTTAAGTCCCTGAGACTCTTATCTCCAATTAACCACCAGAAACCAGAAATGGCTCTGTAGCTCAGGTGGTAGAGCCTTATCCTGAGCACAAAGAGACTGAGGGACAGTGCCCAGGCCCTGAGATCAGTCTTTAGGATTGGCCAGAAAAAAAAGTCAATATCAGTAAGAGATCTCAAGAAATGGAAAATATATAGTGGAAACTTAGTTTTTCTATTACGGAAGGAAGGAAGGGAGAAAGAAAAAGAAAGAGAAGGAAGGAGGGAAGGTAGGAAGGAAGAAAAAAGAAGGAAGGAAGGAATAGAATGGAAGGAAGGAAGGGAAGGAGGGAGGAAGGAGGGGAGCACAGCAGAAAATATGAGTGAAGTCAGTTCCTCTAATCCCTTCAAGCTCATTCTCTACTGTGCCATTAAAATCATCTTCAAATATGAACCTTTGCTTACTCTGCTGGGAATCTTAGGGATCAATGTTTCTACAGAGGAACACACTGAAACCTGATACTCATATTACATAAAAATGCAACAATATAAAGGAATTCCCTGGCTCCATGAGTGGGCCGTGTTGTACCTTGCAGGTTGTTACTTTCTTAAGTAAATCTTGCTTCAGTTTCATTAAATCCTTGCTAAACTTGGGCCCGGGGTAGACCTATGCACAGCGCTGGGAGCACAAGCCCCAGGCATGCATTCGCTCTATCACACAATTGATGGGTGTTAGTACTTGCTGAGCTGGTTTCTGGGACAAGAACTTGGAAATTCTTATCTTTGTAGCTCTCATTTTCTGTCACCTCTTTGGGAGATGTTTAATTCTTTGGAGCATCGGGACTGGCTCAATAATGTTTCTTATTTACTTCCAACACGAACTGTTTATAACGTCACTGAAAGTTTAACTAGAAGTCTTAGCAAGAAAGCCCAGAGCTTTCTATATATATATACACAGGGCTATCCTAGTTGGCTAAACAGCTTAGCAAATGGTTGCAGCAGTGTACACTTACAGGATATTCAAAGTTCATTCGCTGACTCTCGTTCCTCTCCTCTCTCGTCCCTTACCTCACATTGAGAACAGAGAAGCTGGGTGGGGGAAAGGAAGCAACTGCTGACCAGAAGGTCGACGCTCTTAAGAAAGGTGACCAGAAAGAGGAGTTTCAGGGAGAAAGAAAAGAAAGATGGTTGGTGCAGAGGTGAAAGACAGTGGGGGTCGAGAAGGAGAGAGGAAGCAAGTCACAGCAGCGACGCAACAGGGCTGGAAAGTAGTAGGTCAAGGCCCCAAAAGAAGAGCTCAGAGGTAAAACGCGGGTGGGTACAGACGGGGTGGAACTGGGCCGCCCTTTCGGGTGGGAACGCGATGATCAGCCAGAGAAGGGGTTCCTTTCGTGCACGGTTCAGAGTGGGCGGAAAGGATCTACGCCTAACTTCGTGGTCCCTCGGCGCCAACCCTCACTCGCCTGCAGGATCCGGGCCCGTCCTGCCGCTGCCAACACCAACGCCGCCATGGCTCTCAGCTGTCTCTCCGCGGCTCCACGCGTCACCCGCGGAGCCAGGCCTCCTTAAGAACCCCGCTGCTACACCTCGCCCTCCATCAGAACGGAGCCTCTAATTGGTGAAACGACTATTTTCTCTAGCCAATCATTAGCCAGAGCACCGACTCCCAATCCCTTCACTCTAGTCCGGGGAACAGGTGATTGGTTAGGAGCAGGAACGTTCTAGCTCCCACCTACTTTAGCCAATTTTGTTGGCGGAGATAAGGAAACGCCCTGACTTGGATACCGAATAGTAAGCAGGAGAAGAAAGACGCCCCCTAATTGGGAATTTTGATTGGTCACATGAACGACCTAGGCCACACCCCCTCAGCGAAGAAGGTAAATAACACTGGGCAACTGGCGTGGCTGCTGTTAGGGGCGGGGTTAGGCAAATATTCCTCTAAGGGGCGGGGGAACGGGCCCGGCCGCGCACTGGGGAGGGTCTAGGGGCGTGGTTTGCGTTTCTTCGCTTTCCCGCCGACGGTTGGCCACGTCACGTGACATGGGCAGGAAGATGGCGTCTCCCACCGATGGTAAGAGCCGGTTTTAGAGCTAATTGGCTTACCATCTCCTTCTTGCTTCTACGGGCACCGCTCCTGTCCGTTTGCCTCTTGCACGTATCCGTCTTTCTTGGGCTCCTCTCCTTTCTCGTCCTGCTTTTTCTTGGGTTGTAGGTCCTCGGTCTTCAGCAACACGGGGTCTGCTGTGCATCAGGCGAGTGAAGAAAGCACCAGCAAGACTTAATTCTGGTGAAGGAATGGGTGTCAGCCCGGCCGTGTGGAGGCCGAGGGAGGAGGAGACAGTGAAGAGGTTCCTGACTGTAGCTTTGTCCAGTCCGAGTGCAGGCTCTGTTCTCCTTGAGCAGCTCTAGCTGAAGTTGGTGATTGGCCTCACCTTCGGCCGGAATTGCCAAGTAAACCTCCTGCTGCTTTTTTCTCTCTTCTGTTTGGGACTGTTTCCCTAAGGAAACCAGCATCTGGGACTTTCTTCTCAGCTTGGCAATGAGTGCCTGAGGTAGATGAGAATTGAACTTTGTGTGTGTGTGTGTGTGTGTGTGTGTGTGCCTGAGGTAGATGAGAATTGAACTGTGTGTGTGTGTGTGTGTGTGTGTGTGCCCGATCCTAGGGCTTCAACTTCTGGCTTGGTCACAGCCCCTTAACTCGAGGCTGATGCTCTACAACTTGAGCCACAGCTTCACTTCCTGCTTTTTTTTTTTTTTTTTTTTGGTGTTTAATTGGAGATGAGTCTCAAGGACGCTGGCTTGAAACCTCAATCCTTAGATCTCAGCCTTCTGAGTAGCTAAGATTACATGCATGAGCCACCGCCTTTTTAATGTACACATCTCAACCTATCTTGACGTCCACTTTAGTGTTGATTCCTTGGATTGAATGAATGAAAGATTACTTCTATGTTATGCACATACAGGCCATCTCAGGTATCATTTGTGTCGTTTGTGTCAGTGATGGAGTCATTTAATTGTTTTCCTTTTGCCACTTCCATTCCTATGCTTCTTTCATTCATTGGCAATTTCCCCCCCTTATACACATTTTTGGTGTATGGAAGGATCTTGGAAGTTCATTTTGGGAATTGAGTAAACTGAGGCGAAGGAGAGCTATTTTAGGTACTTCACTATATGAAAAGCAAATAGGTGTTTTGGGAGATGCCAAGATGAACCAAATATGTAAACTTTTTTTTTTTCAGTTTCAGGTATCATTTTTTAGATGTTGCCTCCCAAAGACACTTTCCAAGAACACAGTATTTGGAGTTACCTTTTCTACCATTTTATTATTCAGCATATTACCTGTTAACTTTACTCCAGTCATGTCCAATTATAATTCAAAGTCTAACGTTCATAATTGGATCCCAGAAGTTAGCACAGTGCCTGACAAGTAGTCAGCCTTCAACTAAAAGAATTGTTAGATTGGAAGCGGCGCTGTAGCTCAAGTGGTAGAGCGCTCACCTTGAGCTGAAGAGCTGAGGGACAGTGCCCAGGCCCAGAGTTCAAGCCCCATGACCGACCAAAAAAAAAAAAAAAATTGTTAGATTATATGCCGAAATGATGTAACCCCAGGCTGACCCTATCCTCTACCTCCTGAGTGCTGGGATTACAGGTTTGCATTATCCTGCCTGTTCTATTACTAATAAGCTTCTATTTATGTATTTATTTATTGTCAGTCATGGGGCTGCTCTGGGCCTGAGCGCTGTCCCTCAACTCCAGCTCAAGGCGAGCACTCTACCACTTGAGCCACAGTGTCACTTCTGGTTTTCTAGTGGTTTATTGGAGATAAGAGTCTTGTGGACCTTCCTGCCCTGGATGGCTTTGAACCATAATCCTCAGATCTCAGCCTCCTAAGTAGCTAGGATTACAGGCGTGAGCAACCAACGCTCAGCTAAGCTTTTATCTTTTAATCTGAAAATATTAAGCACACTGAGCTTAAATACACTTTCTAAATGTTATATTCAATTGCGTTTGTGTGTGTGTGTGTGTGTGTGTGTGTGAGAGATACTAAAGTTTGAACTTAGTGTCCGATGGTTACTTAGCTTGCTTGCTTATGTGACACTACCATTTGAACCATGCACCATCCTGGCATTTTGCTGGTTATTAGGAGATGAAGACTCACCAAATTGTTTGCCTGGGCTGTCTTTGAACTTCAATCCCCTCGATCTCAGCCTCTTAGGATTACTGGCATGAGCCAGTGGTGCTCTCTTCTCTTTGCTTCGTTTTCTGTTTAGTGTTTTGTTTTTTTTTTGTTAGTCGTGGGCCTGAAAGCTGGGCCTGGGCGCTGTCCCTCAGCTCTTAATCTTAGGCTAGTGCTCTATCCTTTGAGCCACAGCACCACTTCCAGCTTTTTTCTGCTTATGTGGTGCTGAGGAATTGAACCAAGCACTCATGCATGCAGGGGAAGCACTCTACCACTGAGCCACCTTCCCAGCTCCAGTTTAGTTCTTTATTGTCTCTCTTCTTCTCCCCTCCCCCTTCTCTCCTCTTTTTTTTTTTTTGCCAGTTCTGGTGCTTGAGCTCAGAGCCTAAGTGCTGTCCCTGAGCTTCTTTATGCTTAAGGCTAGGGCTCTACCACTTCCAGCTTTTTCTGAGTAGTTTATTGAAGCTAAGAATCTCATGGACTTTCCTGCTAGGGCTGGCTTGGAATCTTGATCCAGAGATCTCAGCCTCCTGAGTAGCTAGGATTGCAGGTGTGAGCCACTGTGCCTGGCCTCTTAAACTCAGGGCCTGGGCATTGTCTCTGAGTCCTTTTGTGCTCAAGGCTAGTGTTCTATCAATTGAGCCACAGTGCCACTTCTGGCTTTTTTGGAGTGTCATGGACTTTCTTGCCAGAACTGGCTTCCAATGGAGATCCTCTTGTCTTAGCCTTCTGAGTAGCTAGGATTACAGACGTGAGCCACAAGCACCAGCTTTCTTGTTTACTAAGACTAACCCAGGATGGCTCTTCCCTCCATTTGCTGGAATTATAGACATGTACAGCCATGTTGACCTGTCACTCATTTTTCTTCATAGTGCTCTAAAATATTGTTCCTGTTTTATAGATTGTAAGAGTGAGGTTTGGTGATTAATTTGCATTATGTATGATCTAGTGCATCAGCAGGTATAGAACTCAGGTCACTAGACTTCCAATTAAATGTTACAGTTTATGTTCCCCTCCCTCCCTTCTTCCCTCTCCCCCCTCCCTCCCTCCCTCTCCCCTCTCTCTTTCTTTTCTTCTCTTTCCTTCTCTCTCTCTCTCTCTCTTTCTTCCTTTCTTTCCTTCCTTTCTTTTCTTTCTTTCTTTCTTCCTCAGTCCTGGGGCTTGAACTCAGGGCCTGGGCACTGTCCCTGAGCTTCTTTTGCTCAAGGCTAGCACTCTACCACTTGAGCCACAGTGCCACTTCAGGCTTTTTCTGTTTTTATGGTACTGAGGAATGGAACCCAGGGCTTCATGTATGCTAGGCAAGCACTCTACCACCAAGCCACATTCCCAGCCCATATAGTTTATGTTCTTTAAGATTAAAATGTAATAAAATATAAAGTGTTTCATTGTCTCATAAGAATATTTTGTTCTAGGAACAGATTTGGAAGCATCTTTGCTAAGTTTTGAAAAACTTGATCGTGCTTCACCAGATCTTTGGCCAGAACAATGTAAGTTTTTGCTTTTTTCATATTACAGATGATGTAGGAGGAAACAGTGCTTCCTTTGGAGCTTTGGGTTTTGTATGTGTGTGTGTGTGTGTGTGTGTGTGTGTGTGTGTGTGTGTGTTTAAAGTTGTCATGTAACTATGATGATTAAAGTTTTTATTTCAGTTAAATGGTAAGAGCTGATGTTCAATGTTAAGAACTATTTGGTAATTTTAAATGTTTTAAATAGTTAAATTTTCCAGGAAATGATAAAGAGATTTTAAACACTAATCATTTTATTTTGTACTGGTCCTAAGCCTTGAACTCAGGGCTTCATATACTGGAGAACATTTTGCTGGTTAATTAGAAATGGAGTATCACAGACTTTTTTGTCTGGGCTAGCTTCAAATCTTGATCCTCCAGGTCTTAGTTGTCTGTGTATCTAGGATTACAAGTGTGAGCTGGTATCCAGCTTAAACTTTTTTTTTTTTTTGTGGGGCCTGAACTATGGGCTGGGCACTGTCCCTCAGCTCTTCAGCTCAAGGCTAGCACTCTACCACTTGAGCCACAGCGCCCCTTCTGGCTTTTTTCTTTGTGCTTTTGTGGTGCTGAGGAATCGAACCTAGGGCCTCAGGCATGCAAGGCAAGTGCTCTACTACTGAGCCACCTTTCCAGCTCTGAGCTTCACCTTTCCAGCTCTGAGCTTAAAACTATTTTTTAAAACTATGTTGGGGAGGGAAGGGATTGTAGGAGAAAAACAAACGAGTGGATAACAATGTTCAACAAGAAATGTACTCATTACCTTACTCATGTAACTGTAACCCCTGGGTACAGCATCTTTACAATAAAAAAAAATTCACATCAGATATTTCTCACATCCTTTAATCACTCTAGTTAACTATTGGAATTTTGTAAATC